GTGAAAACCAACAGTATCCTCTATGTGTTTACTAGTGTAGTTAGTATCTATAGGTTAGTTAGGTTAAGGATTTACGTTAGTAGGCTTATTTACTTTCTTTTTAGTATAGTAAGGTTTAACTAAGGTAGAATAGAAGTTATATAGGCTATTAATATTAATAGTATAATCTTTACTATTAATAGATAGTAGGCAGTATAGGCTAGACTATTTACCTTTTTTACGCTATACTTGTACTTTACTACCTAATAGTAGGTCTTTAATAGTAGAGGTATTTAGGCTATTATGTACCTTAAGTGCCTTATAAACTTAGTGCGTTATATAGCTCTTATAGAGGTTATTAGTAGCCTTCTAGATAATAGCTGCCTATTAGATAATGTTAAGTAAAGGGGCAAAGTTAGTAGTTATATAGGGGTAAGCACTAAATACTAAGAGGGTTAGTATAAGGCTGTTAGGGCCTATAGTGTTATTAACTGCCTTGACTATACTCTAAAGGATAGATTCTTAGTTAGTAGTTAGGTACTCTTTACGTATGATTTTATAGGCCTATTAAAGCACTGTGTAGTATTATTTAACCTTTTTAATACTATAGTGTGCCTTAATAGGGATAATCTTGACTTTAACGCCTATTATATAGGCTTTATATAAAAATTTAGTTGCAGTAAAGTTCTTGCCTATATTAGTAATAATCTAGTCTAAAGGTCCTTAGTAGACATTAATCTAGCAGTAATAAAGTGCCTCCTATGTAGTCTTTATAGAAATATTATAAAGAAAGTATACTATATTAAAGGTAGTTATAGTATTAATGATATAAAGAACTAGTTAGTTACCTTTAAGGTATATAATATTAATAATAACCTTATAGTTAAAAGAGCAGTTGTTATATAGGGTAAATTTAAATTATAAAGGTGCCTTCCTATAGAGCTAGTAGTAATAGTAGTATTTAGTTAAGTGCTTAATAGCCTTAACCTTAACCTTATAACTAGCCTTATAAAGGACCTTATAAAGACAGTAGACTAATAAGTGCCTAAATTGTTAGTGAAGTTATTATAACTCTACGTTAGTTAAGTAGTAACTAGTAAGGCTATGTTTAGGTAGGCCAAGGAGCATCTATAGATGCCCCTATTTTTATATAACTAGTACTATAATGTTACTTTATTAAAGAGTATTTATAAGGTTATTAAAGTAAATAAGCAGTTAATCTATATTTACTAGGTAAAGTAAGAAGGGTGTATTTATAAGTATTATATAAAAGGTAATAGGCCTAAATAGTATACTAACTATAATAGTGCCCTTTAAGTAAATAGTGTTACTACTACTAAACTAGATCTTTACTTAGCTAGTAATAGTAGTGTTAATAGTTACTAATAGTTAGATCTATTATAACGTAGTTACTTATAGGTGACTAGCAGTAGAGAAGGTTACTACGCCTATATTAGGTAAAATACCTTAAAAGGTGCCTAATAAGTAATAATCTAATATAAAAGAGGTAGCTAGATCTAATAATACTATACTAAGGTTATCCTTTATTAACTAGTAATAGATAGCTTAGTTAGCTAGGCTAAAGGTAAGCTTATTGCTACTAAAGGTAGCACTACTAAAGAATATAGTAGAGGTATAAAAGGTATTACCTTCTAGTTTATCTTTACTACTTTTAAGAGTATAGTTACCTTAAAGGTAGTAACTAAGGTCTTTATTATCTTTATTACCTTCTTTTTCTTATAGGTAACTACCTTTATAGCTAGTAAAAAAGGTTTAATATATAGTTAGTAAAGAGTCTTTTACCTAGTGGTTATTTTTAAATTATTAATATACCTTATGTTACTTATTAGTAGTGTGTTTTATTAACTAGTAACTAGGCTTATAGTAGACGTAGTACTTCTTAGTATTATAGTTGCTGTTGTTATTACTATAATAGTTACTATTACTATAGTTATTACTAAACTACTAGTTGTGCCCTTAGCTATAGTAAGTATAGTTAACCTAGTATTAATTATTAAGGTCTACCTAGTACTAGCTAACCTTATTATTATATTTTATTATAGTACTTACTAATAACTGCAGTTAGTTATAGACTTCTTCTAATATAGGCACTAGATTAAATAGGTATAATTTACACTTATAAACTCTAGAGTAAGTATTTAACAGCTAGGATTAAAGGACTTTATTATTATAGTAGCTATTAGGTAGCGCTTATTAAATAAAAGTAAGTTTATTAATAAGCTTCTTAAGTACTTTAAGCTTACTTTTTTTAGGGTTATTATATACAATGTAGTAAAAGGTAGTATTTTACTACTTAGTAAAGTATATCTAAATAGCCTTAGGGCTCTTAAAGTAAGCTTTTATTTAGGTAACTATAGTAGTAAGGTCTTAGATATTTTTACTACTAATTTAGGTAAAATAAAAGGTAAAAGCCTTACCTTTAAGTATTAACAAGAAAGCTAATACTATTTAGTGTCTCTTAATACTAATTTTACTATAGTTATTATAGAATAAGTTTAACTTAACGTTAAGTATATTATATATCTTGCTAGTATACTTAGATTTATTAGTAATAATCTTAGTTAAGGTGCTTAATTACTAAGGAGAAGGATAGTTACTAATAGTATTACTTTTAATTAGTAGTAGCTATCCTGTTCCTTAGGGTTCTATAGGATTAGTGTGTAAGCAAGTAAAGGGTTCCTACTGTAATTAATAATAGGTAGGGAAGAATAATAGACTATTACCTTATTAAGATAGTCCCTGTGTTATATTATATAAGGGAAGTAGTAAATCTTATATAGATTAAGTCTACTGTAGTAATACTAAGGTTTACTGCTTTTACTACTATAACTTCTATACTTGTTTATTAAGTTAGGCCTATATTATTACTAGTTATTACTTAAGGTTTATAAATATTACTAGGCTTTATTTAGTTATATAGGTAATAGGCTACTATTATTGTTTTTACTTATACTACTCTAGGCTAATATAACTATATTAGATATTATTTAGGAAGCTATTATATATTTTAATAAGCCTATTAAATATTACTAACTTATACTGTACCTTCTTAACTTCTTTATCTGTCTAAATATAAAACTTGTTATTATTAACAACAGTAACAAGGTATAGGGTAATTTATTAATAGTCTTTAGGTATATAGATGCCTTAATTAAGAAGGAAGTTATAAAAAATTAATAGTAGTGTTTTGCTAGTAGCGCTAAAGAGGGCTTTGTCTTATTTATTAAAGTAATATTAAAAGTCCCTCTAGAGCTTATAACCTATAAGGGCATGTTTAGCCTATTTAGCTATATAATAGGCAAGGTAGAAGTAAATAGTAGAAGGGTCTTGCTTATTAAGAAGGATTTCTTAGCTATACTTCTTATAGTTAATATATTTTACTATAAAGGTAGGTACCTTAGGGTGCAAGGTACTACTAGGTTAACTTATTATAAGGTTAGTTATTAAGGTTAATTAGTAGTAATTACTGTATAACTTTTGTAGTAGTGATTAAGTAGTAAGTTTCTTCTTAATGTGACTTACACTTATAAGTCTAGATAGTGCTAGGTTGGTTTTGTGTGTATAAGGTAAATAGAGATAGTTTTCTAAAGGGGTAGATATAAAGATAAAGGGGAAAGTTAAATAAGGTAGTAATTATTACTACTTAAGCGTTTTTTCTTAATGGCGCTGTGGTTGGCGTAGAAGAGATTCTTGCTTGTTAAAGAGGTTCTAATAGCGTAATAGACACTGTAGTGTTTCTTGTAGAGGTAAAGTAGCCTTAATAATACTTAACTTAGTTAGTAGTCTACTAGGTTATAGTAGGCTAAGTAAACTTCTGTGATAGTAAGCCTTGTTAATTACTAGTTATTAGTAATAATTAACTATTAATTAATGTTAGTTTTTACTAGCTAATTAATAAGATCTTGTATCTTATAATATTATAAAGGTTAAGAAAAGGTAGTTAAATTTATAGTTATTAATAGTTAACTAGTTAACAAGGTAAAGTAGGAGCATAAGTGTAGTAGTACCCTTGTGTATAGGCAAGGGTAAGGGATTCTGCTAGTAGGTAGTGTATTATATAACCTACTGCCTCTAGCTATATCACCTATATGCTAACAGTAGTAAAAAAAAAACAGCCTAGATTATAAGCCTAGGTATTTATTATTAAGTATATATTTACTAAGGGTATTACTATTTATCCTTTAGTTATATATAAAAATAAAATAGTCTAGTAGTAGTAGTTCCCTCTAGATCTAGGCCTATATAATAAATAGGAGTTTATAGTAATAGAGAATAAATAGACTACTAATATTACTACTATTAAATAGCTATAGAGAGTCTTTTTTCTTTAGACTAAGCCCTCTTAGCCTAACTAGGCTAGACTTCTTATCCTAGATAAGCATAGGAACTATATAATAATAGATTTTATATAGTTATACTATACTAATAATATTTATCTCTTATTCTTACTACTATATACCTCTTATATTCTCTAGCTACTTAACTAGTTAGTCTTTAGCCTTATTAAGGCAGTATATTAGAAGAAGCTTAGATATCTTAGTTAGTAAATTAACTCTACTATTATAGGCAAAAGGAACTTCTTTTCCTACTATTAAAAGGCTTACCTAGCTAGTCTAACTATTAGTAATATTAAGAGTAGCTAGAAATACACTAGGTTATAGCCTATTAGTACTATAAAGCCACTTATAAATAGGCTACTAGTCTAAAAGGTAATATTATTAATAATAACACTATTAACACTACTTAAAGCAGCTACTAAAGATACCTATATAGCCTAAGATACTTATAATATAGAGGGCTAGGCATTAGCCTTATCTACAGTAAAGTAGTCTACACTAAAGAAAATAAAGGACCTTAGAGACTAACTATAGCTCTTTAGCTAGCTAAAATAAAGCATTACTATACAACACTAACTATTTAGAAAAGTTAAAAAAGGCTTCTAAGAATAGTCCTATATACTAGCTACTGCCTAGTAAAAAATCAGCCTTCTAGAAGCCTAAGTTACTAACAGTATACCTAGGAAACAGAAGGCTATTTATATAGATCCTAACATAAAGTTTATAATAATTAAAGAGGTACAGCAATTACAGCAGGAGGCTAGTAAAGTTAAAAGTAATATAGATAAATCTAGTGCATCTAAATTACCTAGTGAGGCTAAAAGCTGTATTATCGTAGCATTAAGAGGTTGTTAATAGTTAATTAAATAAAGTAGTGTTAGTTATAATGGCTTCATTTTTGGCATGCCGAAATGTGGGGGGTGCCGAAAAGTGGGTGGGTTGACTTATCCCGGACAACTCTAGGGCCTCGACCAATTTATCCACGGGAGCGTCGTCAAGCTCAAAACCGCCTGCACCTTGAAGGTGTTTTCGTAAAGTTTGACGCAAAACGGAAGCCTTCTCTTCTGACTGCGGTGGAGACAGATACAGAGAGCCGGAGCAGAGAATGACGCCTCTGACGGGGGCACCAGTTACCAGGTGTGCATGGCAATACACCGCTCCGGCGCTTTCCCCTGCAAGAGAAATTTTATCCTATGAAGAAACGTCAGTGAAGTCTTTTGACAGGAGTGATCCATGACGCAGTACCGGATCGCCTCCGAAATCAGCTATGTGTTTCTGAACCCAATTCAGAGCCAAGGCTTGATCTTTCAGGGCTAGATTCTTCGAACTAGCCTCGTCCCCAAACGCAAATATGTTCAGCCTATACTGAACTGTCACAACGATAATCGGTTTCCCCTGACTGATGGAATCCTCTACAACTTGCGTCCCATCTAAGGAATCTCTAGTCAATCACTGTGCCAATGTGCGCGCCATTTCCCACATAAAGTCGAGGGACAAAGCGGGAAGGGGGAGTAAGATTAAAAAATCATACCACACACGCCAGAAGCGGCGCTCCCGAAGGTCACTGCTTGTGACCCGCCTGAGATGTGTCAGTGTTGATACAAGCGGTGCCCTTCGTCATCTGGTGTACATGCCATGAATCCAGATGAAAACCGGCAGTCGTTCGCGCTTTGACGATAAACATGATCTAGGTGTCATCACGTCTAAGTTGAGACATCTGAACTCATCCTCGGGCTCGGGCGGCAGCTTGTGTTGACTGGGGATTCGCAAGAGATGGCCAACGTCAATGGCGACTTGCGGGCACCGAGGTCTACAACATCGTGAAAAGCAAGTCAGTCTCTGACGATGCGATACGGCACACGGCACTGAAAAGCAAAACTCGTACCCGAAGCTAGTACAATCCACTTCCCGCGGCAAAGCGCTTTTCGGCCGGGGTTCTGCGAATCGTGATGGGATCTCGCCGTATGGAATCCCTCGGAACTGGACAACGCGCTCAAGCTCAACGCCAAGCAGCGTCGAGCACAGCGACTCACTGGCAAGTACAGGGCCCGCCTTCATCCTGGTCTCACACAGGTGCCGATAAGCTTCCGAATTATGTTCGCGCTGGCCGCTCAAGCCTTGAAGTCTGAAAAGCGTCACAGACCGGACGAAAGGCGCAGTTGCAAAGTGGAGAATACAAATGAGCAATGCATCCTTCGCGCTGGGTTCTGCCATCGACCCCGCACACACGTAGTGTACACCTATTTCCAGTCAGGTTCATCTCCCATGTTCTCTTAATAATTAACAAAAATAGATCCAGCAACCGTGCAGTATTGAGGAATCGCCTTGTTGAGCAATGCAATTTCACTCTGGGGCTGGCTTGATGAAATGGGAATGCCCCCGGATTTGAGGTTCAACAACTCACTTGACCGTTTGTATTAGGGTGGTCTCAGTGATCAATGCTGAACAAGCAAAGGAGCCGAACAGACAGCTAATGTCGCCCTATCCCTCTTCATTTCTTTTCCATCCAATAAGCTCAAAACCAATCTTCCTCACTCCACTGGTCATCATTTTGTGACATTGGACTGGTGCTCTGAGACCCATATGCCTAGCTTCGGCACGGAAAACAGCGTCTCATGGAGAGAACAGAAACGTCTCCCAAGCTTTTAGTAGAGAATCCAGACCAATCTCTTCGCCCAGGCTAAGAACATGGTCATATTTGCCGGAGCCGGCCCCGTCTTCCCTGTAAGTTCTCGTCCCATGTTCATAGATCATGCGCCCGGCGGTATCTTGGAGCCGCCTCCAAGGAGCCTCACCATGAACAAAGTCTATCACATCAGCGGCAAATGCTTCGGCAGTTTGCCTCTGCTCTTCGCCGAGGTGCTCGTTGTAGTTTTGGAAGAGGAATGCCACGTCAAGCACGTGGGTACTGTGGCCTTTGAACACACCATCCCAAGGGTTGCGCTCCGCAAATTCCAACAAGTAGGAGTCGCCGTGGAAGCTCTTCGCATACAACTCTGCCGAGGCGCGAAAAACAAGATCCGAGGCGAATTGCAGGATACGGATGAGGGATTCGTCGTCGCCCGCAGCCTCGCTGATCTCGTAGGCGTGCAGAATCCGCGTTGTCGCATCGGGGTGTTGCGATAGTGACGAGCTGATGGACTCGATGAACTTGGTGGCAATGCGTTCTTTCTTGCGCAGGAGACCCACGAAGCCGAAAATGCTCGCCTATTTTGTCAAAAGCTTAGCCAAAAGTCCAAGCGACTACCGATGAGGGAGGCAGAGCGTACATCTAACGGCGCGTAGCCGATCATCATGGCTCGGCAAGACGTCCCGCTGGGAATCATCTTTTTCGCTCTGGACGTTTCGAAAGTCGGTGTAAAGGGCACCGTATCTCCGTCCAAGACAGGTAGAAACGGCCCGGCCCCTCCAAGCTTCGCAAGGAGGTCCTTTGGGGACACCTCAGACAATGCCTTGATGCGTTCACTCGATGGCAGGTCTTCGAGTCCGAAAGCGTTGATCACGGCATGATAGGATTGCTCAGCAACTGCCGCGCCCAGCGGCGCAAGATTTGGAGGGCAGCCCCCCAAAACGATGATTTGGGTCGCCAGTGTCTCGTTCGAGTAGAGTAACCGAGTCGTCGAGCCTGGTTTGGTTAGAGGATGTGACTGCGACCAGCTGGCCTTTCGACTTTTTTGATAAAAGACTCACTGCCACCAGCACTTTCACCGGCCACCGTTACCTGCTGAGGATCGCCACCGAAGCCAGCAATATACTCTTTGATCCATTTAAGAGCAATTCTCTGGTCATGGTGGCCGTGGTTACTCTTGAACCCTTCCTTTTGGAGCTCCTCGGAGGTAAGAAACCCAGGCGCACCCACGCGATAGCTGTGAAAGACCCAATTAGCCAACTACCGCCCTTGTTATGGGCTGTGGTATCCGCTGTACCTGATGGCAGCGGCAATTATGGGCTTTTCCCGTTCGCTTGCCAGTTGGACTAAACGCTTCATGTCATATTGTGGCCACCAATTCGAGCCAGTAGCGAACCCTCCGCCATGGATAAAGACCAGCACGGGTAACGGTTGGGAGTGTTTGGCCTCAAGGGGCACTGTGAGGTTCAAATTGAGACATTCGGTGCTTGATAGCCCAGGGAACTCGGTCACTGGGATCGCTTTCTGGATGATCAGGTGTTCCCGGTTGACCCCCTCAGGATCTGAGACGACTTGCGGGCTAGTGATAGCTTTAGCTTGTCATAAGATGGATAGTGCCAAATGAGAGAGGATTGCCTTACCCGTGACGTGTTGCATTCAAACCATTGCCATCGTATTGAATAAGCTTGGCATTGTCGAACCAGTGGTCTAGGCTTGCGTATTTAACGCCCAAGAATTGGATAACACCGTCCGAGGCAATTCCCTTTACTGTTCCGATGATAGGGTGCTCGAACTGCTGCGCCGCTGAGGCCATTATGGGCTTGAGCAATGATGCACTAGGGGCAATGAAATTATGTCACGCAACACTCCTCTTGAAAACGAAGAAAGCCGCAGTTGCTTAACACTTTTCTGCAACAGTTTCAGGGATTAAAAAGCCCTTTTGTTGACAACTGAGATAACTTTGTCTCAGCCAAGGTTACTACGGGGAATAATAAGGAAATGCCGAGGTTAGCCGTTGGTTTGTTACCCCGCATCGGCAGGCTGTAAGAGGACGGCATACTTAACCCAGAATGGCTGTGATGTGCATCTTGATGCAACATCCATGAGGGGTCAATTGGATTGCAGCTCCTCTTAATGATATCGGTACATGCCGGCGGCCGAAACTCACTTTATTCGGCACATCAAGACTACGGTGGAATGAACCAATAATAAAATTTCTGAAAACATCCTAGAAATAAGCGTTCGCATGACGCCGCGAAGCGAACTCACGGCGCTTCTCTTGTGTCGATGGCTGTGGGTTAAATAAATACATGAACGTATCATCGTCACAGACATTAGAAGGAAGTGACGAAACCGTGTCCTGTATACCCGGGGGTGTTAGTCAGCCTTCGTCAAAGCTAAACACCCCCTCCTCACGGAGGGGGCGAAAAAAGGGGGGTTGCAGTGAGAAAAGGGGGGTTGCACCTACATCACGAATACCCTCACTTTTACGTACGTTATATAGTATAGTCAACTTTTTATTTCTTAAAGCAATAACCACTATAACGTCGTATAATAATAAAAGTAGTACTAATTAATAGCCCTAATTAAGGGCTTTATAGTAGTACCTTTTTTTCTCTTTTCTTATAATAACTATAAATTTATATTACTACTATAATATAGGTATTACTTTTATTATTATCTACTATATATTGCTACTCCTTTTTTTATGTTAATAGGGGTATATATAGGATATTTTGTAGTATAACCCTTATTGCCCTCTAACTATTTATTTTATCCTTTAGAGTATAATATTATAACTTATATTATAAAGGACCTTATAATATTAAAGGGCTAGCTATTAGTGTTATTAGTAGTAATAGTAATAATATATAACTATTATTATTATTATTACTCTTAGGTATACTAACTAATTCTTTACTTAATATAACTAAATTAATGTCCTTGTTAATAAGGTTATTAATGTCTATAAAGATCTTAGGGTTAAAGTATAGCCCTGCTGCCTCTGCAGCTGTATTAGCTAATGCTTAGTTAATATTACCTTAACTAAGAGGTCTTACTGTATACTTAAAGTGGTTAAGTATATACTGTAGTAGAGGGGTTAGATTAAGATCTATTATGAATTTTTCCTTATATATAGTATTATTTAAGTTATACTACTGTAGATCTAAAGGGTTAAATAGGATATATAGTTAATCTTTTCTAGTATAGATAAGCTACTATTTAAAGGTTAGTTGCTTTATTTGTCTATCTACTTATTAATACTTTAAAGCACTATATTACTACTAGACCTCTTTTTTTTGCTTATAGGCTATCCTTTTTATTACTACTTATTAGTACTATATATTTACTTATATAGCCTCTATAACTTGCTTATTATATGCCTCCTTTATATCTATAATAGTAACACTAGTTATAAAGGAGTATTATAGTTTAATAGCTTACTAGTACTAGCTCTTCTGTTGTTATATTACTAGTCTAGTATTTTAGTCCTTAATATATTACTACTAGTACTTATAGGTAAAAGATCCTTTATAAATTACTTACTTTATTATTTTAAATCTTCTCCTTAAAGGACTACTTTATATACTACTATATTTCTCCTCTATATAGTTAGTAATAAGAATAGCCTTATTAAAGTAGTTATTATATAGTAAAAAATATATAAGGTGTAATAGTATATCTTTGTTGCTTTATTATATCCTTTTTACTAGCTAGGCTAGTATAATATTATTATATATAGGCTATATACTTGCCTTCTTAAAGCTCTTTATAATATAGGTAGCTATAAAGGCCTCTTTAACTATAGTATTTAGGGTAGTAATAAAGTTACCCTTTGTAAATATAAGGTTACCTTCCTGTATATAGTTATAGAGTACTTGTTAATAGGCCTTCTTAAAGTGTTAAAAGACTTCTATATCTATTAGCTAAAGGAAGTGTATTATATAAGGTAAAAAAAAGGTAATAATAATATTAAAGTTAATATAATATTCTATAAGCTTTAGACTTATATAGCTTATAAATTTATTAAGGAGGAGAAGGTAATATAGCTGCTTTAACTTTTCTATAGTATTTTAATAGTTATAATACTTTACTTTTTGTCTACTTAGTTAACTATTAGGTAGATATAAATTATAGGTATTATAACTATATATATTAACACTAAAATAGTTCTTAAAGGAGTAGCCTATTTAGTAATACTTTATTAACCTTATGTATAACTCTATATTAAAGTGCTATATATAATTTATTATAACCTCTTAGTTAAAGAAGCTAGTTAGTAAATATATAAAGTAGACACCTTCTTAGACCTAATAATCTACTTAAGTAGTAACTAGCTATATTTTAAAGATTATATATACTAGGATAATATTACTAGTTATATTACTATACCTAACTAATGTATATAACTCTTAATTAGCTAGATCTATAACTTTAGGTAGGTAGTTATATTTTAGTAGCTACTTAAGGATAATTATATAAAGCTAGCTGCTAAGGTAACTAATCTAGTAGCTAGATTTATTAGTGTTCTATATCTTAGATAGGCTAATATTATAGTTGCAGAGGGTAGCCTAGTACTAGGTAAAGAAGTCCTCTACTAGAGCTAGGTCTAACTTAGCCCCCTTTTAGTATAACTTAACTAGCTTAATAGTGCCCTTCTTCTAGAGCTTTAGATAGTTAGTAAGCTAGCTCTAAACAAAGTGCTTAGAGATAGGCAGCTAGCCCTAGATACTACAGAGGTAGTTAGCTATTTCTTTAACCTATAACAGTAGGGCTAGAAAGCTAGACTTATAGAGCTATATAATAAATACGCTAAGAGCTATATCTTTGGCCTCTGTAAGTGACTAGGGCTAGCTGCCCTTATCTAGGCTAGCGCAAAGGTTACAGCTAGCCTAAAGAGCCTAGAGATACTAGTAAATAAAAGTATTAGATATATTATACTACTAGGCAAGTTAGTAGATAAAGGGTACAGTAGACAGCTCTTTGCTAGGCTAGTTAAATTAGCTAGCCTATTACTAGGTAGTAAATATTACTTTAGTAGCCTTTTTAGCAGTAGTTATATTCTTATTATATTAGTAAAGTATATTAAAGGGTTAAAGTAGGGTAGGTAGTTTAGTTACTGTTAATATTTATTAATAATATATCTAAATAATTACTTATTTTTAGTAAGAATGTAATAAAAAGTAGGACAGGGCGGGGACTAGGTGTAACCCCCCTTTTCTTACTGTAACCCCCCTTTTTTTGCCCCCTCCGTGAGGAGGGGGTATTTAGCTCACAGCGCTGACTAAGTTGCCCCCGGGTAGCTACCGGAGCTTATTTACTTCAGGTTGATTAACTAGAGATCAAACTCTTGTCTACGGATCCCAGAGTGATATGTGCGGCTTACTGAACTTGCATCTTTAATATTCTGTAATCATGTAATAGTTCCGCTCACACGGGAACCAAGATGCCCCGTACCACATACATGGGCGTTCAATATTTGACCGTATTACCCCATGAACTACTATACTTCGCTGCTGTCTTTACTCCCACTTTGAAGGGCCATGCTGCACGTTTTTGCCGGCCTGGTCGTGACGGACTTGCCCTGATGCAGATCCTATTTTGCGTGCTGAACCTCGTTTTTTGTTTTTACCGAAGACTTAATATTCTCGGCGAATAATGCGATCGCTTTCGGGTGCCAGGAAACAGAAATTGTGACTGTTCAATGGCAAAGGATAATCTCGGAGTTTGGCCTGATAAACGACTTGCTTTTCTATTAGATTCTCAAGATGCCACAGCATCCCAACCGGCGAGCACATACTCTACACCGTCCAAAGGCAGCGAGGTTCTGATCATATATACAGCCATAGTAGCATTGAGCGTCTCATGTAAGAGCAGAGCCGTTGATGATTACATTGACACCATAGACTGCCAAAGATGCCGCCTGGCGGTCTTTTCTACAGTTCGACCTGCAGCCAGCCTGTCGAAGCAAAATCATATACTTCGTTGTATGCGGGTCTAGTTTTGGAATATCTTGGATACTGATAATGAAATCCTTTAAAAGTCCAACGTAATCTTTTCCAGGAGCTGTGTATAGGCAATTGGTTATTATTGCGTCGAGATTGGATTCGCTGATAAGTTTAGACAGCTAGGCTTCTGAAGTAATTACATCTGTAAACAACGACGAGATGAGTAATATGGCTGCTCGTTGGGGCGGCGTCCCTTGTGATGTATGCCGTGCCCGCTGCGCTTAAACGCATTTGGGATCTATACGGCCGACTGAAGTTAACTGCCTGGGCGTTTTCTGAGTAGACATGGACATTCCCGAAGACATCAGACCATGGTTCGACTGCGTCTCGTGGAAGACAGAAGATCACGCGATTACTGACAACGAGGGACGGAAAAGATGAACCAGGTCGTTAAGACGCCTCACCCTACCGTACTGTCAGTGGAGGCCGTATCTGCCGCGGCAAGGAATGTGCACTGCCAGTGATCAATCACTAAGGTATTATTAACTCGACTTTTACTGCAAGCAGTGCGGGGATATCTACGGGGCTCGATACGTTCCGGCATTGGCGAACCGGCATCAAGATTGAGTGGTACGAAACAGAAACCGGTGGTTATCATTGGCCTTGAACGCGTGTCTGATCCACGCAAAACACATACACGCAAGCGCCGTCGGTGTAACGGCCCGAACGAAAAAAGAAAAACAGACTCAACAATCAAAAAAAAAAAAAAAAAAAAAAAAAAAAAGGAACGATTGAAGAACAGCTTTACCCGCCTCGAGGCCAACTATCAGCTATGCAATCAACATGCTCCGTGTGTTGACCTGCCTCATTCAGCACTCAGAGAATGTGCCGCTCGCTTATGCTTATGTTTGTGCGGGACGAGCCGAGTGGGAAGGCCAGGTAACTGGGTCGCAAACCTATTCGGATAGGTCGACAGGCGCCTGCGAGCCAAGTGAGTTCCAAGATAGATGGCTGTCTCTTGAACAACGACGTGACAAGCCCTGGATCTCGCAGCCTATTCACGAAACATTCCGGGGCTTCTTGTCCCGCAGCAGCAGTCTTCAAATAATCACAGGAGTGCGTCTTAGTCATTGTTTACTCTGGCAGGCCCCAGTCCCAGCCCCAGCGATATATACGTCACCGCCAGAAATATACCAGTAAGAGCCAAAGCTTACAAACTGATGTGTCACGGATGGAAGAGGGTGGGGGGCGGGGTTGGGAACGAAGTATTCGGAAATAACCCCGGCCCTCTCTCCTCTTAACGCACGGAATATAAGATGTCACTGAGCAGATATCCATGGGCCTTTGGCTGCCGCTCTAGCTCTCCGCATCTCTGCGGCAAGCTGCTCTTAGTGGTCCGACAACCGATACCACGCCATCCACATCGAAAGGTACCGTGTCCTCGCCTCAATGTAACACGAATCCTTCTCCGCCTTCTTCACTTTGTCAGTCATGACAGAGAAGGCCGGGCCCCTGTACGCCAAGTGGGAAACAATACAGATACGGTCTGAACTTCCACGCAGCTCGCGTCGGAGCCGCCCCGGCTCGCACGCCCCACAGCTTCGAAGCTAGTTTCTTATTCTCCAAGACCGTATTATGGAGCGGCTCTCCACGCTCCATGTGGAGTGAAGCTTTCCGCGACGGACGGGGCACCGGTTTCTACAAAAGCTCCAGTGGCCCGTCGTCATCGTCTCTCACCCCTCTTCGTCGATCCCCCCCTCCCCCTCTTCTCTCTCTCTCTCTCCCCTCCCCCTCCAAGTTAAGCTCGACGCTCGACTCACCATGGCGGCCCAAGACCTCGCTCCAAAGGACTTCCAAAACGCCTTCCACTGGGCGGCGACGCAGAAGGATGGGACGATTCCATCCTTCGCGACTCGCCCGAACGACCCGTACACGTACCAGCCCGGCTTCAACAACAGTTTCGAGTCCGAAGCCATCGCCGGCACTATCCCGAGAGGCCAGAACAGCCCGAGAAGCATACGGTATGGCCTGTACGCAGAGCAGGTGACGGCTTCGTCATTCGTCGCTCCTCGACACGCCAACAAGAAGGCCTGGCTCTACCGGTCCCGACCCGCCGTGGCTCATCAAGGATTTGTAGGCGGGACCCCCCTCCTCTCTCTCTATTCCTTCAACGTAGCCCAAAGCCCGCCAGACGTGGCCGCTGACTCCTCTCCGCGCAGACCGAACTCCCCGACAACAAGGACACGGAGTCCACCTTCATGCCCATCAACCCCCGGGTCCACGTCTCGCCGACCCAGCTGGCCTGGAAGCCCTTCCCGATCCCCGACGGGCAGGACGTCGACTTCGTCCAGGGCCTGAAGACCGTGGCCGGCTCCGGGGACCCGACGCTCCGGGAGGGCGTCGCCACCCACGTCTACCTGTGCAACAAGAGCATGACGAAGAAAGCTTTCGCCAACTCCGACGGCGACTGGCTCATCGTGCCGCAGCAGGGCGCCCTCGACATCCAGACCGAGTTCGGCTTCCTCTACGTGCAGCCGGGCGAGATCTGCGCCATCCAGCGCGGCCTCCGCTTCAAGGTCGACGTCGAGGGCCCGACGCGCGGCTACATCCTCGAGGTCTGGGGCTCCAGCTGGGAGCTCCCCGAGCTGGGCCCCCTCGGCGCCAACGGCCTCGCCAACGCCCGCGACTTCCTGCACCCCGTCGCGTCGTACGAGGTCACCAAGGACGACCCCTGGGACGTCGTCTACAAGCTGGGCGGCAGGTTCTTCAACAGCACGCAGCGCCACTGCCCCTTCGACGTCGTCGCCTGGCACGGCAACTACGTGCCGTGGAAGTACGACCTCACAAAGTTCGTCAACGTCGGCTCCATCTCCGTCGACCACATCGACCCGTCCATCTTCTGCGTCGTGACGGCCAGGTCCAGGGACCCCAACGCGCCCCTGGCCGACTTCCTCATCTTCTCGCCGAGGTGGGACGTCGCCTCCCACACGTACCGGCCGCCCTACTACCACCGGAACGCCGCCTCGGAGCTGATGGGCCTGATCTACGGCGACTACGGCGGCCGTTCCGACGAGTTCCGGCCGGGGAGCATCTCGTTCGAGTGCGGCTTCGTCCCCCACGGCGTCGCCTACGAGCAGTTCGCCGCCGCCTCCAAGGAGGACCCCCCCGTCATGCAGATCTCGCTCGGCTCCATCGCCTTCATGTTCGAGACGAGCCGGCCCCTCACCATCACCGACTACGCCTGGCACAGCAAGGAGAAGCACGAGCATGACCCCAAGATGTGGGACGACCTCGTCGACAACTTTTCAAAGTTTGACATCGATCCGGCCCTGATCAAGAACAGTGGGAAGAAGAACCAGAAGTGAAGATGCGTCGACCAATCTGTATAACAGGCGGATCTACGGTTTTGTTCTGATGAGATGACGTTAAATGAATGGAAAGCAACCAAACACTTTTTTTTTTTTTTTTTTTTTTTTTTTTGCAAATCTGCGTCTGCCTGAAACATCGGCATTACACAGATTATCTCCCAGCGTTTTGTTGAATGGCATGCGGTTTTTTTAGGTCCTGTTTCGTCTGAGCCTGTCTTCACGTTTCTCCCCAAACGGCATGTGACTTTCTCGGATGCTCACCGGTATGCGCAGAGAGCGCGCCAGTAGATAATCGAGACGGAATTAAACGGTTTATCTTGACTGGTATCTGGAGTGCCTTTGCCGTCTTTGGATGCGTAAGGCCTACCGGAAATATGATCAAACAAACCCCCTACCGTACATGACCAACACCTGAAAATGATCTCCCAAAGATTGAAAATTCAAGGTCAGTAATGACCTTATTTACAGCTCCGTATTGCATCATAGTGATAATCCTTCAAATTCAAACCCCTTGAGGATAGACATGCACCAACGAGTTGTGTCAAATCCCAGCGGTACTTGGCAACCCAGGCTCTCAGGATACAGTCTCACAGAACCAATACCCCTGATCGACGACTGAAAATTGGGGGCGAAGACTTGGAATCACGCAATCGATTTCCGGTGACGTCGTACGAGAAAGACTCTCACATCATCGCTGCATGTCTAAAGGTGGTATCACGCAAACCCTGCCGAGAAAATCCGGGTGGAAAAAGAAAAACACGCGCTCGAGCAACCACCCTCCATCCCTCTCCGTCCCGAACTCACAACGCCTTGTCCAGGGTCCCCTTCTTGACGAAATCCTTGGTCGCAAACTCCCTCTCGCCGCCTGTGGCGATGTTCTTGTTCTTCGCCTGGCCCTGCGGGTCTCCCGCCGCCGTGTCGACGGCCGAGTTGAACTTGCCGCGGAGCACTTCCCCGACGCCCTATTCACGAATTTGTTCGTCAGCACGGGTGGGGGGAGGGGGGCGGGGGGGGGGGGGGGGGGCTATCTTCTTCGGCCCCCTGTTTTATTTGCGGTACGCGTGAAGAAGGACTACTCACGTGTCCCTGGGCGAAGGCGCCCTTGATCTGCTGTCCGATGCCGCCGCTGCGCGTCGTCGCCGCATCGCCACCGCCGACGGTGCTTTCGGCAGCCCTCGATACGGGCTGCGTCCCGGGAGCCTGGTACGAGTTGCCGTTCTGGGCGTCGAGCGTGGCGGCGTCGGTGCTGGAAGCCATTGTGAGGGTTGATGTGCGCTGATTTGACCGACTACTAATGGTCCCGCTGGCTGTGTTTCGAGATGGAAAGAGGAGAAAGTATTGCCAAGTTGATACGGTAGCTCTTTGCACTAGCATGGGCGTGAATCAGATACTTGCGCGGCTGATGATGCTTCTGGAAACCACACTTATATGCCCGTCGAGGCCGTTGTCATCGGCCTCAAACCTGATCCTCTGATGCGCCAAGGGGGTGACGTCACGATAGCGCGAAACTCGCCTTGTGGAGGGACGATCTGTGGGTGTGGGCCGTTGCCCACGGGTGATGGCGTTGATGTCAGCCTCAACCGTTGCCGTTATTCCCGGTAAAGCTGGCTTTTGTGGGGCAGATGCTAGGTATTCGGGCGACTTTGTTTTCCTCCTGTAGTTCGACGACTTGCTATCCACGCATCGGGTCAGTAGAGGTTCACGGGCCAGTGTAAGGGGTCCCGAGATGCGGTGATGGTGTATCTTTCAGTTGGGACGCCCGACTTTTGTGTATACATCATCAATTGTCCAGGCTCTTCAGGATGGCCTGGGGTTCCATCTGGTCTTTAGTATAGCTCCTACACAACCGACAAGTAGCCATCATGTATCTACGTCGTCCCGTCAGCCGCAGCGTTAAACACTTCCGGACGGGACACGAGGCATCGGTGCTTGACACAACAGGGTCTGAACCGTGAAACCATAAAGCAGCCTTTGTTTCTCATGTTTCAGTTTGGCTTTAACCACGTACCGGATACTTGTCGTTGCCTCCACGGTGTAGCAAGAGCAAGCAGCGGATGATGATACGTACATAATGATTCATGCGGAATAATCAACATCAAAGCCGGCTTTAGTAAAGTTACATCAACTCCAATACGAGAAGAATAGAGGCCGTTGTAAGAAACCGATGTCCATGGTATATTTCTGCTTCCAGAGGGTGGCCCCCATCACGTCTGGGTCGGATGTTGATGGTAAGAATGTTTACGCATTAGAGTGCACGATAGGAAAACGCCAACTGCCATCGGTAACAATACAAAGGCAAATGCAGCGCCAGCTGCCTCTAAGAAACCTGTGAAGATGAGGTTTCTCAAACAGCATAAATTTCAACGACTCCCACACCCAAAATACGCCGCAAAAAAACCCAACATATATGCCTCTACCAAGACCCTTCACCACCTTTCCCCCTTTCCCTTCCATCCTCATTGACCGTCCCTCACCAGAACCTCACGACCACTGCCCCGACAACAGAGACATACACCCACGGCCCGACGCCCAACCTCGTCCCGGTGCCGCGGTAGCAGCCGTTCCCGTTGCAGCTCACGCCCCCTCCACCCCACCCGCCACCGCCCCCCCAGCCCCAGGCCGCGCTGCACTCGCCCTCAAAGTCGACGACGTCCGTCTTCCCCAGCGGGCTGCACAGCGAGACGGAGTCGGAGCCGGTGTCGACGGCGCTGGCGCTCTCGGCGCCCGAGCACGAGAGGACGGCGGTCCACTGCCCGTCCGTGCAGTGCTGGAACCTATCGGAGAGGCAGTTCCACTGGCCCTCGTGGCCGGCGCACGACGCGTCCGGGGCGATGTACAGGTGGCTCAGGTCCTGGAGGGTCGCGTTCGCCGTCCCCTCGTCGAAGGCGTCGTCGTCGGCGGCGGCGGCTAAAGCGACGAGGAAGAAGATGAGGAGGGCGGAGAGGACACCCTTGCGGCGGCACGTCCTGACTTGGGGGAACATTGCGAGGAGAGATAGCACGCCCTTGCGGCGGTAAAGCCAATGAGGCGAGGGAATGTCGTTTGTGATTTGGAAAAAGGCCTGCTTTCAGGATGAGGTGGGATAGGTGAAAGCGGTGTAAGAGCTTCGTGTGTGAGAGAGAGTGTGTGTGTGTAAATGTAGCAGAGGAGAGCAAAGCGTTGTGGGCGTGAGGTTATAGGCTGTTCACGGAATTGTTCTCACATGCCAAATGCTCCAGCATCTCCTATATGCCTTACCCGTTCATCAACCTGTCAGCCGACGGGCTAACGGCGAACCTGGCCAAAGAGCAACCGATACCAGGGCATGCCAAGGGCGAAACCCAGCTGAGGGAATGACGAAGGTGATCAGTGACCGCCTAGATGTCGCAAGATGTCCTCCCAAACCACCGCCCCCCCGCTCCCACTCCAACCAGCTCGCTGCGGTTCGCGCTTGCCCAAGCTCCGTTTGCTCCCGCTCCCTTGTCTTGGATGAGAAGATGTATCCGTCGCGTCCGAGGGTGTCAGGTGTGGGTGGCCTGAGTCGTTGAGTTGTCCGCTGGCTCGAGCCGGGCCGGTGAACGTGTGGCTTCGCCATTGGGCGGCGACGCTGTAGCGTCCTCACCGAGCCAATTCTCACCTTAGGCCTTGTGTCTCACTGCAGTAGTATAGATATCTGAAATGAATGGGGAGAGAGCGGGTCAGGCAACGGATGCCTGCCGGAACGACGGCTGGGTGTCGCGTTGCACTACCGTCCGTCTCGCAAGTCCCCCGGTGCGGTTCCCGCACCCGCACGAGTCCACGATCGATATGTGGCACAGACTGAATAGCACACGGTTATAGAGGCGTTGCAAGCCCTCCGTTCCTTACAGGCAAAGAGTCGTCGCGAGCTGGGCTCATGGGCCCTTGCAGGGACGACTGACTTGGGAAGCACGCAAGACACACGAGCCACACATGGGGCACACATGATTCCCGTTTGCTTTGTGACTTCGTAGTTGCCCCTTCTTCCCCTTTTCTTAAATGCTAGAGGGAGAACACATGCTGGAAATCCCACGAACCCGTTCGTCAACGTCCGACGTGTCACCGCGTTGGCGACAATGCTAGCGTTTTCTAGCGCGGAGCGCTACCCGCAGCTCCGGGCGACCAATGAGTCGGCTTGCGCTGTCGGCATCAGGAAGGCTAGGGAGGGACAAGCTTGCTAGGTTGAGCAGCTTGATGTTGATCAACTTCCAGGATATAAATCGGTCAGAATCGCACGGGGCCGTTTTCCAGCCATATGCACTGTGGTATCCGGCTACTCGCTGGACATGGATGACCTCATGCCTCGGAGCGGTCGACAGCCCGAGTTTCGGCACGAGCTCTTGCTTCTTACCCACCTCATGCGCCGGTTCATTCGAGTCGCTTTGGGGAAGCACCGGAGTTTGAAACAGTCCATGGCGTCGGCAATAGACTTGGATGGCTTTTTGACACCTCGGCCGACTGCTTGTAGCTTGATGTAGCAGCTCGCTCAAGCTTCTGTCACGGGCGATGCGGCGGACGGATGATAAGCAACTCCTCGTTGAACTATCTACACTCTATGTGATTACAGACATTAAAGAAAACCGAGGATAACAGCGCGTTCCAGCTCTTGGTTTATGCTGCTGTGAGTCCTTTCCACACACAGTCTGAGGTCGGCGTCTCCCTCTTTTAACGATCCATTATTCCCGGGCGTCATTAGTACAAGTCGCCCATGTGAGCGTGCACCGTTCGTTTTACTCAAAACCAGAATACGCCATGCCATGCTAAGGGGACGCCATGTGGCGAAAGGATAAGAGAGAACACATAAAGCATACACGTTGCGCGAGCCGTCTCATCAGGGATCTTGTAGATGGCCTACTTCACCGGCGGTAGCGGGGCGTCGCACTTGCGGTGCCTGTCCACTCGGGGTATTTGCTGGGATTCCAGTGTCCATCGTCGTAGCTTTGGGAAGTTGGGACGGGGGACGGTGTAGTAACACTGACGACGCTGGTGACGAACGTCGATGGTAGGATGAGGGAGCTGGGGGTCTGCTCCGACGTGATTTGGGAAGTCGTCTCATAGACCCGGGTGGGGGTCGGATAGATACTGGACTCCGTGGTGCTGGTGAGTAGAGTAGATAGTGGGATTGTTGTCGACGACGTCAATGACGAAGTAGTGTTTACAGACAAGGTCGGGGACCACTGCTCGGGCGGAGCAGTGGAAGTAGGTGCAATAGGGGTGACTGTGGGCGGGGGAGGCGCCACAATAGCGGTGGACGGCTCGACTGGTGTCGATGCCGGCTCGCTCGGGGCGGCCCACGTTTCCGTCGACGGGGGAGGGAGGACGATGGCAGTGGAGGAGACAACAGGCGCCCATGGTGATGAGCCGGGGACCACTTGAGTCTCGGTTGACGGTGGCGGCGGCTCGACTGGTGTCGATGCCGGCTCGCTCGGGGCGGCCCACGTTTCCGTCGACGGGGGAGGGAGAACGATGGCAGTGGACGGCTCGACTGGTGTCGATGCCGGCTCGCTCGGGGCGGCCCATGTTTCCGTCGACGGAGGAGGGAGGACGATGGCAGTGGAGGAGACAACAGGCGCCCATGGTGATGAGCTGGGGACCACTTGAGTCTCGGTTGACGGCGGCGGCGGCTCGACCGCGTGTGTCGAGGAACTCGCGGGTGCTGACGGCGATGCGCTCGGAACAACCGATGTCTCAGTTGAAGGAGGAGGCACCGCAACAGGAGGACTTGACGAAGGTGCCAAACTCTGGAAGAGATCCGGAGAGCTTGACGGGGCAGAAATGCTCGTGGGCGAGGCGGTAGGTTGAGAGGACACAGGAACGTCTGATGTAGGCGCCGAAGACGTCTCTGGAACGGCGGAGCTCGGCGGAGGTGAAGCTGGCGGCGGCGTTATCGAGGTTGTTGTGGGTGAGAGAGGCATTGATTCAGGGGTGGGCGTCACAGTCGGGTAGACGGTAACGGTAGATGATGCTTCAACCGTAGTAGCGTCAACATTGACGATGATGAGGGATGTGGATGTTGTGTGGACGGCAGATGAGGCGTCTGGGACGGGATCTGTGACCCTTTGCGTCACGGTGACCTGAACCGGCGACCGGGTGACGGTGACGACGGCAGGAGTGTCGGTGGTGGGACTTCCCGCGACGTTGACGACCGAGTAGGTCTTGAACGGCTTCGCGTCACGGAGATGCAGCAGACGATCAAGGAGGGGGATGGCGTTGGCAGCCGTAGAGACGGACAACAGCAGGGGGATGGGGACCGAGGGGCGCATCCCGACGATGAGCGAGATGGTGCTTGTGTCTGAAGACTCTGTCGAGGATGATGCTGGAAAAACGCTTGACTGGGTGATGCGTGTGCTGGTGTATGCAGATGTAGGTATATGCGCAGCTTTGGACAACGGACATGGACAGGACGGAATATGGGGGATATCAAATGTCGACCGAGTGTACGAGGAGCCAGGGGGGGACAGAGGAAAACTGGAGACGTGTGAAATAAAAGCAAACAGACGTACGGCGCGTGGGAGAGAGCCATGATGGTTCAACTGCGCTGCACTAGCACACGCGGATGGCTGGTGATGGAGCCACACGAAGCGGTGGTGGTGGTGATGATGGGAAATGGTGGTGGTTGGGAGGCTCCAGCTGCGGGAGCCGAATCCAAGGAGAAGCAGCGGATCCAGGGGTCGTGAACATTGCGGGGGGGGGGGGGGGGCAAGCACGATGACGGGGTACGTACTGTCTCTTTAGCAGGCTTCCAGCACGCGCTGGGCGAAACTAGACATAGTTTGGCCAATGAGAGGCTTCACTTCCCTGGCGCCTCTCTCCCAGCCACCCGGTGCTCTTGTTCCTGTTGGCATGCAGCCAAAGGGGGGGGAAGGGGGGGAGGGGCTTTGGAAGACGCCCTCCAAACTATACAACGTTCCATACTGCCGAGTTCCACATGGAGGAAAAACCCAGTGGCAGGTGCTACAGTGAAACAGGCACAAAAGGCTCGCGATGAAGGGGTTCTAATCTAAGTACTCCGTACTTGTGAAAGATTCCAAATCCGAAGTCCGATGGTGATTATGTAAGTGTCTGTGGCTGATGCTCTTGGCTTTACCGGATTAGACTGGGGCAATTGCTGTGTGGCGGCGGCGGTGCATATGTGGCTCGTCTAGAAACACTCAGATTGTGGCACTTCCCATTTTCCAGACGAACGAACCATAGCCCTCCCTCATCCTCCTTTGGGGCGTGCGTTTCTGGTTTGATTCCATCAGATCCACTCCTCAAGAAACGAAAGTGCCAAAGACGTGTCGTGCATGGGCAAGGGGAAGCTTTGGCCCTCTCCATCGTGCAGGCCATCGTACCCGGTAGGGCAACACAGCAGGGCCGTTGTCGATCTGCTCCCCTTCCCCCTTCGATCATACTCGGCGCTAATCCTGTGTGCAAAAACAAGAGCAGTTCCTAACAAGACCGTTTCATCCCCGCATCTTCACGATAAACGCAACGCAACGAAACCAGGTCCCAAAGCCTGCCTTGTGCACTCGCATCGGACTGCGAATCTGGTCAAGAGAGGGGAGCGAGAGAGAAGAGACCCGCGCGGCCTTCAACCCCGGCCTCCCCCTGCCTCGATTACGCATTACTGTGGCGCAACATGAGCTCGACAGGGTTTGCGGCGCAAACAGAAGGCTCCTTTAGGTCGCCTCTCTGCCTTCTGTGGACCTTGGTTGCCCTGCACTGCCCAAGCCGCCCATAGCTTCTCTTCGCCATGACGTTGGGTGCGTGCTCCTACTAAGCCACTATGCGAGCTAGTCATCTCTCGGCGGCCATCGTCAGCCCAATCGTCTTGTGTTGCCTCTCGCCGCGTGCAGGTCCGTTGGGGTTTGACCGAAGAGCAGCTGACGGATTGCCTCACTGCCACCGCGAGATACCTAGGTAATACTGCCATGTACATGACGGGTTAAATAACCCCAACTCGCCCAGCACATCCACCCAAGACCTCCTCCATCCCACGTTCCGACTTTCTGCATCGTCGACCTGCCCCGCAGTCAATCTCTACCACGCACACAACCCCTACTTACACCTACGGAGTACACTACATACACCATCAATACCAGTAACCCCGCCCGTCTCGTCTCTGACGCAACACACACCGCCGCCTGCCCCCGATTCTCCCGTCGTCGTACACGCGATTGAACCCTGAGCGTCGCATTCGAGACACTTTAATGTCGTATCCAGGCCATTACGGCTACGGCGCCCGTAAGTTGCATTCCCTGGTCCTCAGCTATGACGTCGGTAATCTGACAGCTTCCAAGAGCCGCATGGCCAAGGCTACGGCCAGCAGTACCCTCCGCCTCCCCAGGCTGGCTACGGCGGATCGCCATACCCTCCTCAGGGTGGCCAATATCCTCCGCCCGCCGGCCCTCCTCCCGGTCAGTACGGTGCACCTCCGCCGCAGCAGGGCGGCTATTACCAGCAACCCCCGCCCAGCCAGTATCCTCCCCAGGGAGGATACTACCCCCCTCCCGCCGGACCTCCCACGGGCCAATATCCACCGCCCACTGGTCCTCCTCCCGGCCAATACGGCGCACCTCCCCCGATTCCTCCCTCGCCCTACGGGCACTCGCCTGCGCCCGGAGGCTACGGCGCACCGCCGCCCGGCCCGCCACCCGGCCAGCAGTATGGCGCTCCTCCTCCGCAGCACTATGGACCTCCGACGCCCCCGTCGTTGGGCTACGGCCCGCCCCAGATTATCCAGTGGGACGGTTCGCCCGACGCCGCGGCCGCGCGGGCTGCGATGAAGGGCTTCGGCACCGACGAGAAAGCACTGATCCGATGCCTGGCGACCAAGGATCCCCTGCAGATCGACGCCATCAGGTCCGCCTACAACAGAAACTTCAAGCGCGATCTCGAGCAGGACGTCAGGAAGGAGACGAGCAGCTGGTTCCAGAAAGGCTTGGTGTCCATCGTGCGCGGTCCTCTTAGGTCCGACATTTACAACCTATACGAGGCGATGGACGGGGTCGGCACCAAGGAGAGTGTCCTCAACGACGTCCTGCTCGGACGATCCAACGCCGACATGCAGGCCATCAAGAGCGCGTACCAGCAGACCTTCAAGCGACGCCTGGAAGACGACGTCAAGGGCGATCTCAGCATGAAAACGGAGAGGCATTTCCTAATCGTCCTCGGCGCCAACAGGGCGGAGGACTCGGCGCCCGTCGTGCCACAGCAGGTTGACTCGGACGTCATGGAGTTGTACAAGGCCACCGAGGGCAAGCTCGGCACCGACGAGATGCTCGTCTGCAGCATCCTCAGCACCCGCAACGACAACCAAATCCGCGCCATCAACCAGGCGTACGAGCAAAAGTTTCGCAGAAAACTCGAGGATGTCATCAAGAGGGTGAGTCTGACCCCACCAATCCCCCCACGCAACCACTCTACTCCCCTCCCGTAGAATGCTAACATTGAGTGCAAGGAATTTTCCGGCCACATGGAGGACGCGCTCCTCTTCCAGCTCCGCCACGCCGTCGACAAGTACATGCACGCCGCGCAGCTCCTCGAGGACTCGATGGCGGGTCTCGGCACCAAGGACCACCTCCTCGTGGCGCGCGTTGTGCGGTTCCACTGGGACCAGAACTTCCTGGCCAATGTCAAGGGCGCGTACCAGGCCAGGTACCATCGCAGCCTGGCGAGCAGGATCAAGGGCGAGACGAGCGGGGACTACGAGAGGTTGATGCTCGCGTGCATCGGCGAGAACATTTGAGTGGACGGGCGCGCAGTTGAGGAAAAGGAAAAAAAAAAGACTGAAATGATACCCTGGGTTGGGACGGACTTTTGTCATGATGATGCCTTGGGAACCGATAAGGTGGAGTGGGGACTGGGCTCGGCTAGCTGGTCATAGAGGCCATAAAGGAATTGGGAGCATGACACTACCAATTGAAAACAAAGAGCCTATACGAATATAATTACAGAGTTACATGGTGATTGCACGGATATTGAACGGCTTGATCAAGCCAGGACGGTCTCGCGGCTCGTGTAACGCGGCGGTGCATGGCTGGGTATCATGTCAGGCCTTGGACAAAGGCAAAGGCCACTTACATAGCCAGTTTGTCCCTGACGCGCCGCTGCTATTTCCCCTGCCTCACTGATGGTTACCTCTAGGGACGGGCCCAGGACGGGGCCATGGTATCCTGAGAAGACAACGGACAGGTATGGTTCAGTGGTGTAGATGGACAATCCGAGAGGCTGGCAACGCCTTCCCCCGCCCGTGGAAAAAGGTTATTTCTACATGACGTCATTTTGGGCTACAGGGTTAGCGAGACCAGAGGCTCTAGCCGAACAGTTCTGTTTGTTTTTGCTGTGGTGTAATCATTCGGGGAGGTGTTACAAGGCGCGTCCCTGTAGGTAGTGAGCAGTCTAGACCGATAGACGTAGTGGCTCTCACTGGCTAGATTGGGTAGCGGTAGAATGCCAGTGTGATTTGGTCGGCGGCCAGTGAGTTAAACCTATTTCGGAATACATTATGTCAGCAACAGCAAAAACAATATTCCGGCTTAGCTGACCAATGAGAAGGTTAGGATTCAGAAAGTTATATAAAGTTAAAAACTCTTTGGATTTAAGTAATTCAAAGTTAAGGCAAAATAGAGGCAACAGCTACAATTAATTTAAAAATTTATTATATCATGTGACCTGTTTAATTAATAGGTAAAACCCTTATTGCAATAGTAAAGTTGTATACGTTGCTGTTGCTCTTTAAAGGTTGGATATAAGGGCTTAATCTTGGGCATTGTGGGCGTCTGTTGGCGATGGTGGATTTGCGGCAAAAAGGGCGTTTTTTGCATGGGTTATGGACGTGGGCAGTGGCGGTGGTGGCAGTGCCTTCCTAAATAGGCTTAACTCACCGGCCGCCGACCAAATCGCACTGGCATTCTACCGCTGCCCGGCTAGATTCATGCTGGACATGCACAAGAATGGGGTTTTAGTTCAGAACAGTCATCACCGCTGATTGACGCGAGAGGAAGGACCAATCAACGAAGAGGTGGGTCGGTCCTGCTGCACGGGCCAGTATAATTAATGTATAGTAGCCAAAAAAAACAAAAAAAACGCCATTTTTTTTCTCTGTTAATTATATCGCCCCGCTTCCCTAACTTTCCCCTTTTTTCCTCTTTTTCTATTTTATTTCTCTATAACGCTATATCTCTTCATCCGAGTCATTCAAGACCACGCACATCATCCTCACATTGTCTATCACGCAGACCCCTGCCCCTTTCTACATCCAATCGCAGATCACCAGTGACCGATTGACTTCAAACGAAGGTTGCGACAACTTCCAAACGACAACAAAAAGACGTGTCAAACCCATTTTGACCGCGTCATTTCGCGCACAGTGAGTTGTCAAGTTGCCTTATTGCACTCAAAATCGACGTGCTCTCAGCTATCACCCGGCCGCCCCTTCCGAAGTCGCCGTCGGACCTGCCGCTTTGAATTATCCATTGGCAGTCACGTGGTTGCCAAACCATCCGCGTCGCGCATCGTCGACTTCATCCATCTGGGAACGTTCAGACAGGCACTGAGCCCGAGCCCTTCTTTCCTCAATGGCCTCTCCGGCGCTGCCGTCTGCCCAGTCGAATTCTTATGGATCCGGACATAATAGCACGCATCAGCCCTCACCCACGCACTCGCAGTTCACGATGCAGCAGCAGCAGCAGCAGAGGTACCCATCCGGGTCGGTGCCAGATCCTCGTTACCCGAGTCCCAACGGCAATGGTCAATTTGCTTCGCTAGTCGCTTCAGACCTTTCTCAGCCGCCGAATCAATCATCGCCTCTCGCCAACGATGATGGACTGAGGGCACTTCGCTTCGCCGACGATTATGCCAAGATCTCCGCCGTCCTGGCGGAATGCGATCCGGAAGCTATCAGGCGCGCCATCCGGGACAACCACAAGAAGTGTTTGCTAGGATCCCGCTACCACACGGCCTTCCTTGTACGTATGCCATTTGGGGGCAGCAGCCCGTCACCTTCACCCGAGGGCTCTGATTCCCATCTGTTTCCCACGTCCAAATGTCATCGTCGCTGACTATTGCCCAGATGAACGTCACCATGCATCTCGCAGACGAAGTAATTCTCCAGAGAGCTGTCCGAGACTTCGGCACCCGCCTCGTCTCGGCGGCAAAGCACGACTTGGTCGGCTTGATGAACCAGTCCGACCTCGACGAGGTCGCCGACGTGATCATCCCCAAGGCCAGCAACACCTTCCTCGACAAGGCTTTGGTGGCGCGCCTGCCCACCATCGAGGCCCGCAGACTAGTCAACGCACTCGCGCGGGCTGAGCGGCTCGGTTACGACGCCAACGACGTTATCACGGACGATCACGTCATCCCATTTGTGCCGAGCAGCAAACCCAGCGTCAACGTCCAGCCCGGCCCAAGACATGACCTGCCTTTGCCGCATGAACAGAGTGTTGGGCAAATTTTGCCCCAGATGGCCCCTCACCCACTGGAATCGGTCGATCCATCCGTCCCGAGATGCCAAACCTGCCAGCGCGGCTTCCCGACGCCGAACGCTTACGCCCATGTAAGTTGTGTAGTTGTGCAACAAGAGCGTCAAACTAATGCGTCACAGCACGTTAAGCATCGCATCTGCAACAGACCCGCGCCGGCTCCAGGCCCTAGCGGAGAGAGGTACATGTGCCCCTTTTGCGCCCAGACACTCAGTGTTTATGGTGGTCTAAAGTATCACATGATGAACAAGGTGTGTGGTGACAACGGCGAGATCAGCAAAGACAGCATTGTGCCCACTATGCCTCGTACTAGTCTGAACCCCTCTGCCAAACCACCAGCATCGGACACCGCCCCGACTTACGTCTCCTCGGCCAGCAACAGCCCGGCGGCGCAGCACACCTCAACTACTCCCGTTGCCACGCAGACACCCCGCGCAGCGCCGCTCAGCACCCAACCTGACAGCTCGGAAAGCGTGCCACTCGGCACACCTCAAGCCAAGGACATGGCCCACTTGACAGCGAGCCAGGTCCACGCACTGAAGGAGGAGTTGCGGCTGGCCGAGGAGAGCTTCAGGATCAAGATCAACGACACCCACAGGGTGGGCGGCGACGCGGACGAGATCCAGAAAAGGATCACGAGCCTGCGGAACTCGTACGCCTGCAGGCAGAGCATCATTCGCAAGAAGTACAACATCAGGCTGCGCCAGCGGCGCGGCCGCGAGGAGATGGAGCACGAGCGCGCGAGACTGGGCATTCCCGACCAACTTTCTCGCGCGGTCGGGACGCCAACCAGAGACGTCCATGCGGACAAGCGGGCCCGCATCAACGGCAACGGCGATGCGATGACGACGATGGCGACGATGGCGACGCAGGACTCGCGGCAGGGCACGCCCATCGAGACCGTCGCCGTGACGGAGATGGGCAACGGCCTCAACGGGTCGAACGCGACGGTCGCGACGGAGGACCCGACCGCGAGCGCGTCGCAGGGCGAGCGGAGCCGGCCGTCGTCGTCGTCCTACCTCGATACCGTCGCCGTGACGGAGATGGGCAACGGCCTAAACGGGTCGAACGCGACGGTCGCGACGGAGGACCCGACCGCGAGCGCGTCGCAGGGCGAGCGGAGCCGGCCGTCGTCGTCCTACCAGCAGAATGGCTACCGCGTCGAGGTCCACGTGCCGAGTCCGTCCAAGAAGCCAAACTCGGCGTCGGCGGTCGGCGGTCCGCCCTCGCAGGCGACGTCGGGTGGCTCCCTGACAGCCGAGAAACTGCTGCAGCAGATGCGCGGTGCTTCAGTAGACGGCGACGACGACGATGATTCTTCTTCGGACGACTCGAGCACCGACAATGAGGACTAGAGACGCCCTGACGTGCCGTTGGCTCTTGTGCACGGTAAACAGTCGTTTACATTGTCATTTTGCGAGGGAGGCAATGGCGTTTGGCATGGCATGGCACGGCATGGCAGGTTGTTCCGGCTGCCACGAGGAGTTTTATTTTCATCGTTGCAAGATTTGTTCATTTTCTCGGATCGCAACCGGCTAGATGACCGCCCCCCCTCTCTTTACCCCGTTCTTCCTCTCTTCAGCACAATAGGTTCCAAGTTGAGTGGCAGGCGTTGTTATGCATCATGAGGCACGGGAGGGAATCTGGCTCGACATCATTTCTGGGACACGGGACACTTCCATTTCCTTCAACTTTTTTTTTTTGGCAGAGCGAGAATACTTCCACATGGAAAGATACACATAACTTGGGCTTCCTGCCGCAGCCTTTGAAATCTGAAGGGGGCGCGTGGTTTCTCCCGAGGAGATACAATTACCGTGCTGGGCGGAGAAAGGATGAGCCCGGGGCACGCACATAGGCACGAAGCAATATTCATCGAGGATCATCGGATGATACGGTAGATAGGCAGAGCAATCAATACAGACATACAATAGCAGCAGAAACGAGGCGATCGTCGCCCCTCCTTGAATTCCATTTTCTCTTCTTCTTCGTTTTCTTCTTTTTTCTTGTTTTCTTTTTTCTTGCTGCGCCGTGGTTCGGAGTGGTCTGCGGAGGCGTGTTTGATCGACAATAGCGCAGTGCCGGCATAAAGCTGCGTGAGATTTCCGCATGCCGGTGCCGGTACCTGCTGTTGCAACGCGCTCTCCCGCCCCGGACTCATGCTCTCCTTCTTCACCACTCGGAGAAGTAGCTTTTGTCAACGCGGGGAGAAGGGGGGGGGGGGACCTGGACTCGTGATACCGGATGCAGATGGGACGAGAGGCGGGTTGGATCGGCTGAGACTTGTCCCGAGCCTCTCCTTCACCCGGGAGGGCGGTGCATGACTCTTGGAGGAGGGGGAGAGAATCAAGGCTTCTGTCAGAAGAGGGGAAGAATTCGGACCAAAAAGATAAGACTGGAATTTGAAGCTGCTAATAATGTAGTCACCTAGCAGAAGGGTGAAGAAAAGATAATGCATGCCCATTTGATACTGTGCAGTCAGTGCTGGGTTTTATGCACCCATTAATAGGTAGCGCTGCTCCTTCCGGCAGGGGGGGTGGAGAGGCGTAGTCGAATGGGTTTTTCTTTTCCGGTGAGCAGGACGGGGGCTTTGACATTGCCACGCGGGTGACGAATTAGATGGCCTGAGTTGCGCATATTTGGTTGTGGGAAGGGAAAGAGGCCATCTTTTTTGTCACTCGAAAGATGTTCTACTAAGAGGGACAGGGGGCAGGGGAGAGAAACGAAACATCCACTGGGGTTACACGACGTATATCTCCGGGGGGAGTGTTTGGTGTTTCGAGCTATGGGCATTTGTTCGTTGCCTGGCATAGGGGGGTAAGGGGGTACGGGATGACATGATGACATGACGATGCCGCTTTTGGGACGAGGACGAGCACGAGATGGGTCGTGAAAGGCAAGGTGTATGTAGACCGGCTGTTGGATGGCGCCAGGACCGTCTGCTAAGTGACGAAGAGAGGGGGGTGGGATGACGGACTTTTGAGGGGACGGGATCCGGAGCTCTGAGGGTGAAGGAGAAGGGAGTGCGTCCGATGGGGGAGGACAGCGGGCTTTCGAGCCATGCGCACTCTCTTTCTCTCTCTCTTTCTCTCTCTTTCTCTCTCTTTCTCTCTCTTTCTCTCTCTCTCTCTTACAGACCTCATTCAAAAGCAGATTGCTTGCTTGCTTGCTTGCATGCATGCATGCATGTTCCGGGTTTCAATTCAAGTGACGTGAATGCAGAGCTGACGAACGTCGGACGTTGTGAATGACAAAGGGGACAGGGGGCTCGGCGCGGGAGTCCGCGCGGGAGTAGGAGGTTATGCCTTGAAGAGAGAGCGCGCGGGTCAATGCGAAACCGGGAGGGAGGGGAGCAGCCTCGTGGTTCTTATCAACACCAGCCCAGGTAGCGTTGGGAGGACCCTGTACGTGGTAGCCCTTTGTCGTTGTCGATGTGATTAGCACTACTTAGGGGGGTAGAGGCCGACGATGGACGACGAGATGTGCGAGGAGCGAAGAGTTGGATAGTCGCGGTACTCTTCAACCAGCGGCCAAGGGGTGCATGTGATGCTAGGAAGGGGTGAGAGAAGAGAGAAAGAGAGAGATAGAGGACTGAACGGAGGGCTCCTGGCATGTCTGTTTGTCCGGTGAAACATTGAAACATGTCGTTCTATAGTGTCCTTGAGCGGTTCCGGGTCTCAACTTTAGGTTCATTGGGTCCAATCGATGTTTCCTGTCCCCCCTTGCGCGGGACCGGGCATGACGAAATGCGCTACCAAAATCCAGCTGGTAAGGATGAACTGACAGCTGAGAACCGAGGTTGGAAGCTCCAACGACAGCTCCGTCGTCATTGTGTGTGTGTGTGTGCGTGTATGTTCTAGCCCCAAGTCGAGCCGCTAGCAAGCAAACGGAACAAGCGGCCGTGCGGCGCTTCCTCGTCCTAGTCATGACCCGGGCCCCTTCTCCTTGCAGCGCCGCGGACGGGAGCGCATGGGTTGTCAAGCCTCACTAGGTCGCTGCCTATGGTCCGATGTGGTCAGACTGGGCAGACGGACCCCTACGGAGAGAGGGGGAGCTGTGCCTCTGCTTGTCCCCCCCTTTCCCTCCAAGGTTCTCAGCTGTGCTGGCGTTGCCTCGATTCCGCCGTAGCCGTCCGCACCCCCTCCGTCTTGTTCTTTCTGTCCGTCTCCGCGGTGCCTGCAGGGGTGGCTGGTGGTCTGCCCGGCAAGGCCCGTTGGGACTCTATCCCGCCGGCTAGCTTAGTTGTGAGGGACAAATTTGGGTTGGTGGCTGTCGTGAGGGGGGCGGAAGTGGTTTTGATGTTTTGATACGTCTGTTCTTTTTGGCTTTTGTTTTCCCCTGCCCTCTTGGACGCGCGCCCGGCTCTTGTCTTAAGTCATAGGATGTCTCTCGTTTTCCCCGTTTGCTTCCTTCTTCCTCCGATGTTGTTTCCTTTCCTTCAAGTTTGCTGCTGTGTCGGGTTTTTGCTTCTTGAGCCCTCGCGTCCCCGGCGGTCATGTCTCTCGACACCTTCTAAGACGCAAGTCATTGTCGTTCCTTTGCCCCTTGCTCCGGCCCCGCGAGTCTATTATTTCGCGGGTGTGACGCTGGTCGTTATTTTGTTCGGCCGGCCGGCCATTCTGTGCCCCAGACGTTGCTGGTCCCATCATACCGGACCCTGAAAACGTAAACAGAGTATATCGCGTAACCTCTGCTACAGCCCTCTCTTTTCCAGGCGCCGCAACATCGAGCGAGGACTCGGACTCGGACTCGGCGTCGTACCGGGCTGAGATATCGGCCGGATCAACTCCGCTCTCTGGCTATCCCCGCCGGACCCCCGACATCGCTTACCAGCCCGAGTCGGACGCGGGCGTGGAGAACGGCCGGAGCCCTGGGGGAGGAAAAAAGAGAACCCACCTGCCTTCCCCCTTGCACCGTCGAAGAAAGCCAGGACAAGGGTTGTATCTCCCCTCGAGCCAGGACACGGCCAGAGCGTCGAAACGTCCAAAGCAACAGCGACGCGGGGATTCATGAGACGCCGGCACGGCAATTTGGGTTTGGACTGTCTTGTAAGCGAGGTGCGGCTGCGACAGGCGAAACGATAAGCATAATTCCCCGAAACGCGTGCCCGAGAGGGATCGACCTTCTCCGGGACGTAGATCCGAACCAAGTGCCAGACCCCGAGAGAGAGAGAGAGAGAGAGAGAAGGTCGACGACAGACGAGAGAAGGGTCGTCAGCGGAGAAGGGACGAAAACGCAAGGACGGGCGCGCGAGAGCCGTCATTGAGTGACGGGTGTGTGCGGTTGGGGTTCGGTTGATTCTCGTGCTGGTTCGGAATTCGAGATCCGGTACGAGCCGGTATCGAATCCGCGCCCACATTTGGCGGGAGGTGGTGCAGCGTTGCAGTTTGGCAGATCGCAGAAAGAGGACGGGGTGGTGAAGCGACGAACGACCCCTGGAGGGAAATTGCGGATGCGGTAGTGTGGGCGAGTGAGAAATTGCAGGGTAAGTGAAAGTGAGGGCGAAATGAGTGGGTGGGACGGCTCGATGGAAGCAGCAGAAGCGACAGGGAATACAGGGGCGACAGGGGAGACAGGGGTGGGACCGACCACTGTAACTGGCCTGCAATTACTCCAAGGACAGGGTGGAGGCACCACCATAAGCACTATGGCGGGTCCGGGGACTGATGCCAACGCCAACGACGCCATCGACGCCCCGCCGAGCACGAACAGCTACGGCTGGGAACAGGGAACCGCTGGCCAACAGCCTCCGGTTGGCCACCGTCAGACAAGCAACTTCAAGACCACGAGTGGTCCTCAAAAGAAATTGACGCCGCCACTGCAGCTACACGAACGCAAGCTGCTCAGGGTCAGTTCCGTTTCCGTCCGGAGGCCAGTCTACTGGTCGTCGAGCGACCAACAACAACAACAACACCACCCTCACCCTGACGGGCGACTGCTGCGGCGCTCACGTTCGCTCTCTGTCCTCCATCATCATCGTCATCATCATCATCAAGACCCGCCGCTCAACCAAGACTCGCCGTCCGCCGAGCGACACATCCGAGTCTATCTGCAGCCAGAGACTCGAGACCGCCCTTCGTCTGCGCAAGAGAACGGCCGAGAACAAGGCCAGGCACAGGCACAGGCACCACCACGACCGTCGTCACCGCCCATACGGCTACGACTATTGCAACAATTACAGCTACAATTACCACAGCGACTACAACTACCACAACAGCCCCAGCCGCGAGGACCTCCCCCTCGACCGCCCCCTCCGCCGCGTCTGTACCCGGTGCCCGGTAGGAGAAACGGCGTCGGCATCGCGGTCCCGCCCCTCGGTTCTGCATCACGGAGCAGAGCCACCATCGCCAACTTCAACCGGAAGTACCGACAGACCCAGGCGCACCTCTCCGTCGTCTCCAAGACCGCCGCCCAACACCGGAGCTACTGGCCCGACAACTTCCGCGACCCGCGTCACGGACTCTCCATCGGGCACAGCTCCTCGCCCGACACCTCGACGCGGCCGATATCCCCCGTACCCCCAGTCCCGGCCATCCCGAAATCCCTTGCGAGCGATCGTCCGAAGCCCCGTCTCGCCGAGATCGGCCCTCTCGAAGAGTAAGTCCCTTTTGTCTTGCCGTGTTTGATCGCGCGGGAGGTGTGTGTGTGTGTGTGTGTGTGTGTGTGGGTTGCGCTGCGTTGCGAGGAGTGACGGAACGAGAGATGAGACCACCAGACCGAAAACGAGTCGTCGACGAATACACGACGACACTACGGGATACATCACGCATAAGAGTTGGAGGAAAGGGCATGGCGCCTCACAACCAGCGAGTGACCATGGCATAATAAACTCGAACCCGGCAACAAGCTCCGACCTCGAGAGCTCTGTCGTTCTTGCCCAGGTTCATGCGAGAACACTACCAGTTCCCCCCCTCTCCTGACACCTTCTCGCCAAAAACCTTATGCTGCCAGACCACGCGGTCGAGCTCGAACTCAAAAACGTCAACTGCGCATCATTACACCAGACCTGGCGCGCCATCTAGTATTTGAAGTCGTCCTCCCTGCCACCCCAGCCGCCCGTCGTTGGGCTCCAACGCCGCAACTGTAATATGGCGACCATGCCTTCCTCGACATCTTCCGTCCATCACCGTTCCCGCCATGGTCTCGACCACCTCTCCTTCGCAGATGCTCGCTCCCCGCCAACCGCGACTACTCTTTGCAGCTTATTTGACTGATGGCTTCGCCTCATGCGCAAAAACCCTTCGCTAACCTCTTCCACCGCCGCAGCAAGCTCAACGAGCTCAAGTCCCCTCGCCTGCCCTACCACAGCAGCCGCTTCCCGTCTAGGCGCTGGCGCCCTCCCTCCTCCGTCTACTCCGGGAACGACGACTTCATCTCCCCCCTTTCGCCAGAGTTTGCCAAAAAGGCACCCCTCGGGGACCATAACGCCGTATCCCCTCTTTCGCCAGACTTCGCCAACGTGGCTGCCTCCAACATGTACCGCTACGCCGCGGCGGAAGTCTCTCCCCCGAGCTCTCCTGACATGATAGCTCAGATGAAAGGGTAAGTCATGGACGACCGCCAAGAACAAACACCGGACACAAGCACACCCTCGTACAAAGCCTCTCCCGACTCCACGTGGGATGGCGTTTGTGCTTTTTGCCGACACCCGATCGATGCCAGACCACCGCTGACCATGTGTCTCTCATTCAGGACCACCGCCCCACCGCAGGGCCGCAATGTCTCTCCCATGGGCTCTTCCAATACGTCGCAGCTCGACGTCGCCGCCGAGCACGGCTATTCAGACCAGCAGCAGCAGCAGCAGCAGCAGCAGCCGAACCCAGAGGTTCGGAGAAAGACCAGCATTCCCATGATGCGCCGCGAGCGCCGCAAGAACCAAGAGGCCGCCTCTAACACTCTCCGCGAGTCAAAGTCCCAGCAGCGTCTGCGGATCCAACGCGAGACCAGGTGGGATGACATGACGGGCGAACCCACGTCGCAGGACAAGGGCCGTGCGGGCCAGGTCCGACCGCAAGAGTACGCCCAAGAGTTTTCTGCCAACATGGCTCTCGGCATGTCTCCGGCCGCCATGAAAGCCATGAAGAATGCACCATCGACGCAGACCTTTGGCGATCGTCTGCGAAGGTTGCGGCCCATCGGCGGAAACAAACAGCAGCAGCAGCAACACCAGCAGCAGCAGCAGCAGTGGCAGCCTCCTTCCGAATCAGCCACAGCCGTCATTGAGCCCATTGATGAGCGCCCGCCCTGGCGCGGCGCAAGTGGACGGATGCCCATAGTACAGCCCGTCCGCGACACCAAACCTGCGTTGCCTCTTACCATCCCTCCCCAGAGCACGAGACGTGCGGCCGTTGGGCCTAGGCTACCCATCGCGGGTGTTACCACCTCCCCGTTGTCCCCTGTTAGCCCCCCAAGATCTGAAACGTCACCGCGCTCAAGGACGCCCACCACCAGAACTGTGCTCAACGCTCCCCGACAGCTGACTGCTTCTCCTTCGCCCTCGGCCACTCGAACCCCCGCGCCCGCTCAGTCCTCATATCCCAGTCCCCCCAACTCGAGCGCCGATGTCCAGTCGCCCGTACATGCGACGCCCGACGCCGCTACTGCTGCCGATGCTGCGACTCTGCAGCCTGCACCCTTGCCTGCACCCCTACCGGAACAACAGCAGGGCCCCCCTATTGCCCAATCAGACCACGACAAGGCTATACGGAGAAAGCCGCATCGTGCGAACCCGCTAGGTCTGCGCGCGCCTCAACCGTCGTACACTTCGAGCATCTACTCTGAGCAGACCATCCGGTCACCAACCTTTCACGAGCACGAAAAGCCTCATCAACCTACTATTCCACCGTCGTCGGTTGAACGCAAACCCGTTGCCGTGGTCAACGAAGCTGCGGCTCATCCTACGTTGGGTTACAACCCCGCCGCCGCCGTCTCCACCTCAGTCACACCTCGCGAATCTGCAGAGACGGGTTCTGCCCCGGTTCAGTCCCCCCACCAAGCTGAAGGGGTCATGAGCCGCAAGCGCCCAGCTGTTATCAAGTCGACGAGCCCTTCGATCAATCCAGATCAACCCATCGTCATCTCCATGTCGTCTCCGTACAAGTCGAGCGCCTTTGCCGAGCCAGCCTCGCCGCCTCCCGCCCGAGCACAGCTGCCCAGCCAGAGAAACTCGCTGCTGCGCACCAGTCCCGCCAGTGTGTTCAGCAACTCGAGCCGCCCCGACTCGGTCTGGTCCACCAGCAAAGCCCTGCCGCCGCCCCCGACCGAGACTTCCATGTCCAACGACCGCGTCGGCTACCTCAATGCCCGGCTCGATTCGTTGGCCAACCGCCGCATCAACATCAACAAGGCCGTCAGGCAGATGACGGAGCTCATGCCGACCGACCACATCCTGGCCAGCCAGGCCGTCCTGCTCAAACGGGAAGCCGAGAAGCGCAAGGTGGAAGCCCTCAAGCTCGAGCTGGCGGAAATACAACGCGAGGAGTACGAAACCGGCCTGAAGCTGCACCGGGCGTACAAGAGGATGGACCGCAACGCAGACTACGAGCCCACGACGCTCTGGGTAAGGAGAGTTACCAACTAGTCCCGGCCTGCCGCGAGCAGCAGGTCTCGCGCACTGCGGGGGCTTCACTTCCTGGCCTTGTGCGTACTGGCCGTCAGGACGGCAGGCGTTGTTGGTATGATCTGGGTTACGGACAGCGGTCAAGCGTTTCATATGGGTTTAGTTTACATTGTCGGAAACGAGCATTCGATGCGAAGCATGGAGCTTAGCGATCCTTGGTCTCACACTTTGTCCATGCTGGACAATGATGGTCTTTGGGAGACCAGATTGTGTGAAGGGATGGATCAACCATGGCCGTGTCATTGTGGTTTGGGTTTTTTTTCTGTTTTTTTTTCCCCCTCTTATTTCTCTTTTTTCTTGTTTTTTTGATACCTTCTTCTGCGGAAGAATTCTAGAACAGGGTCATAGAAAATTCATTAATCCCCCTCCCTCAAGCTGTTTGTGAGTGGTGTGGCTGGTGCATGGCGACCCAATGTATCTGAAACCGTGGATGATGAGATGGGTGGCCTTGCTGCCATGATGCCATGATTCAACGACGAGAGGATCACCCATGCCTCCCGAGGGCGCCGTCCTCGCGCGGGTTCGCATGCGCATGCGGCTCACTGTAACGTCGCACGATGCTCAGCGCCAAAAAAAGAAGCCTAGGGAAGCTCGAGGCGGAAGCACGGCACGACACGACGCCCTCGCACAACTCCCGAACACACGATGCCTACTGCCCCTAACAAACAACTTTAACCGTCCCTGGGTCCGCTCTCGCGAACAGGGGTGGTCCCTGCTTTCCTCTGTTAGTCGCCTCCATCTTTAGGTTTTTTTTTTTTTTTTTTTTTTTTTGTCTCGTCCTGGGGAGGAGGGTTAGTGGTGTTCAGTCATCGTTTAGGGCGTGAGCCGCTCCTGCCAATCCGATTCTACCCCGTGTACTTTTTCTGATAGGTTTGATGCAGGGAGGGGAAAGGGAAGTCGGAGCACGGTTGACGGCGGCGTTGATGCCCTGGTCTAGCGCAGGCGCGCGGGACGCGGCTCCGCGCTTGGGTGGCTTTGGCGGTGAAGATTGTTGCTATTTGGGGAAAGGGGAGGAGGCTGTTCGCGCCGTAGAGCTAGCAGGGAGGTCTCGGGCCGAGACCTCACTCTCGGCCGGTCCAGCGTCATCGTCGTTGTTGTCGTCGTCGCTGGAAACGGGACGGAGAGGGTCGTACGTGATGTGGTTCTGGTCCGGTTTTGGTGCGCTTTGTATAATTATTGGCGCTTGGACTCGTGCTTCTCTTCTTGATAAGAGCCTGTAGCTAGCTGCAATACAGTCTCTTCATGGTGTAGAACGGCATGTGCTGTGGCCGTATGAGGAGGGGGTGTAGAACGGATAGGGGGGGGGGGGGGGGGTTCGAGGACATGGAAATATGACACGGGCATTACTGCGAGATTGAGTAGATCTGCGGCCCGGGTAAAGCTCAGTCCGTGGCATCTTGTTGGGTTTATAGTTTTCATTCCAGTCTCTCTTCCATGACATGTTCCGGAATTTCTCGGTTTCTGTGTCGACAGGTTCAAACGTTCGAACGTGTGAAGCATGGCCGATCATGTAGTTGCTGAACTCTATACCTACCTGTACCCACGAAAGCATAGCAGTACTGGCAATAGTGGTAGGAGTAGCAGTAGTAGCCGGGTTGTTTAACGCCGGCGGTTCCAATTTTGCCGACAAAAGGCGCCCACGCGACCTGTCTAACTAGAACACATGTTCCTCTGTAAATCAGGGCCCGGACGGCCCTTACATGCACAACAGGGCGTCTGGGTTGGCGGGCATGGAATGTTGGGGGGTTTTTTTTTTTTCTTCTTTTTTTTTGCCCCGACACAAGATTTTGATATCCGTGGACCTGGTGCGTCGTCTGCTGTTCGTCACTTCGTGTTATCTACTATCACTTGCAATGTCTTTGTCGTAGTTTACGCTCATCCGGTACCGACTCCGCTTCACGCACCCTGTCGTTCCACTCACCTTGAACCAAGTACTCACCAGCTTGGCAGATGCCCTTCGACAAACACCGGTTGCTATCCGCCTCTACCGTCACGAATCTTGGCTTCCCTGAGGACGGCATGACTTCTCCTCCACGACCGGTATCCGAACTGGAACTGCCACAGCCAGAAGCCGGGGCCAACCAACGCCAACCCAACAAAGACGGCCGCAACCGCTACGATGACCGTGACCGCGGACCACGCGCTCACCTCCGTAAAGGCACGCCACCCCCCGTCGTCCTTGGCGGCCAGCACCACCTGCATCGCCGAGAGGATCAGAGACAGCGCGGCGAATACGGAAAGGAGCGTGGCGGCGGACTTCTTGAGGAACCGCCGGATCTGCCAAAACTCCTCCTCGTAGAAGACCCTGTTTTTCAGTCCCCTCTGCGTCGCGGCCGAGGGCTGGAAGATGCGTACGGCGCAGTGTAGCCGGGACAGGCGGAACTGGCCAAAGTGCCACCTAGGAGACGCCTCGGCGTTGCTGACGTTGGAGAATGATCGGATGAACGCTGCGAAGTCGGCGTACGTCAGCTCCGATTGCGATGTCTTCTGCTGCCCTCGTCGTGCTGATACTGGGAAGGGCGAGATGAGGTGCGCCTCCTTGGCCAGCTCGAAATCCGAAGGGTAGCGTATGAGACGCTCGTACGAACGCATGAAACCGAGCGCCTCGCCGCGGTGTTCGCTTCCGGGGGGGCGAGGCCTCGGGCCCAAAACGAGTGGCTAAGAGAAGGGGTCACGCAAGGGACGAGGGCGCTCATAGTGACACTGGATTCACCTCCAGGCAACAAACCTGCCAACCTCCAGCAAGTATACCTAAGACTCGAAAAGCAAGCAATATACTGCGTATTCCCATCTTCAATGCGTTCTGTTCGCATCGTCATCCTAAGAAACTAATACAGTGGTCATGGATCACTTAACAGCGCTGTACGTTCTCATTTTCCTGCTCTCGATAGCCTCTACGACCGACTCACCAAGGGAATCCCGTCCCGGATGCACCATCTCCAAGGTCCAAAGTCCGAGTTTAAGATTGTACCGGTGGGTCCCAGCGTGTTCCCGACGCGGGCTGATGGTGTCGAGTAGGCGTGGCCAAGTCCCATCGTGATGGAAGTTCCTGACTAACCGACGCAGTATCGACTTCGCCCACGGCCTGGGGTCCAACCCCGACACGACATGGAGAGCAAAGGCCCCGCCCACTCACGAGGCAGCGGTCCCAGAGAGCGAATGGCTCGTGACGGGAACAACGTTCGAAACGACGGTCTGGATGTGGACCATTACGGGCTAAACAAATTCGGCTTCAGAAGCTCCAGCTACGAGAAAATCAAGTCGAGGCTTCTCAAAGTAACCCAGCACTTGGCTAAGACGGAAAAGCACCACTACTCGGTTCCAGTCGAAAGGTCAGGCACTTATACCGACCGTATTGAGCCCTCAAGGGATCTAGACCAAAAATTGCAAATACACCATGTGAATGGAGGCATCCCGCATGCGGTTATTCTTCATGGCCTGGGCGGTACCGGTAAATCTCAGATGGCGCTGGACTACGCGCAGAGGAAGAAAGGTCAATACAACCCCATCCTCTGGCTCGATGCGACGAACGAGGAGTCTGCGCGATCCAGCTTCAAGCGATGTGCCACGGAGCTGCAAATACACGTCGAGCGTGCCGAAAACCAGGGCTCGGTCTTCGAAGACTCGGCTGTCCAAGCAGTAAACCGATGGCTTCGCGACAGGACTGAGGCGGACGACCAGTGGCTCGTCATAGTCGACAACGCCGATGATATCGATTGAGGCGTCAAGAAGATTATACCCAAGGGACAACACGGAAGCATTCTCATAACCAGTCAAGACAGCCGAAGTACGCATCTCCTTGATGAGGTTTGCAAACGGGTTCACATCGATGTCATGTCGCAGACCGAGGCAGCGACACTTCTCCTCAAACACCAGGATAAAGATGCAGATTCAGCTTCCAAAGAAACTCAGCACCACTGCAACGAGGTAGTACAAAAGCTCGGATGTCTCGCGCTTGCCATTGATCTTGCTGGAGCCTACATCAGCAGCGACGCCATGCCTCAGGTTGCTCTGTCGCGATATCTCACCGACTATGACAAGCACCACAACGAGCTCCTCAAGACGGACGGGTTTCGGGGACTGCGACCGCCAGAAAAGACTGTTTGGACAGCGTGGAACGCCACGCGGGGGAAAATCAAGAGGGAATATACGTCCATGCGGCCCGGCTTGTTACTCACGTTTCTTTGCGCAATTTAAAGGCAACATCGTCCGGGAAGAGATGTTTCGTCTTGCGAGCCTCTGTATGGCGAAGCACGAACCATCATCGCAGGACTTTGACCAATATTGTTCGACAAAAAACGGCGAGTGGGATGATTTCAATTATCGAAGGAGCTGCAATGTCCTGGTGAGGTACAATATGCCGCAGCAGGTCGAGGGAAATGAGAAAATGGAATGGCCCGGTATTGCGATGCATAATCTAGTACGGTGGAGGGCAACGCAGGCCGATAATGGCCGAATCTCGCTTCGGAGGCATTATGAGGTGTTTATCCTTGCAGCGTGCATGCAGCTCATGGATGAAGGTGGAGTGGAGTTTCGTCGACATCTGATCGTACATACGCAAGATATTGACGATGATTCATTGGAGTACGCAACCGAATGGGAATTTCTTGCCAAGGAGACGCTGGGTAAACTATGCTATGGGGAGGACAGGTGGAGGGAGCCTGGAGGCCGAAAGGCTACATGTGCGGGCAGTGGAGCTAAGTAAGATGGTGCATGGTGAGGAGCACCCTGGTACTCTCCAGAACATCGGCAACCTGGCGACAATTATTGCGCACCAGGGCAAGTCGAAGGAAGCTGCTGATACGCTCATGAAGGTAGCAGAGTTAGAGAAAAGGGTGCTAGGATCGGAGCATACAAGTACGCTGCGAAACACCCACAATATAGCGATCACGCTTTGGGGACAAGGCCAGTTGAAAGAAGCTCAGGACATACTCATAAAGATAGTAGAGGTAGAGAAAAGGGGGCATTCACACCTTAGCGTTAATGCTTGGGGTACAAGGTCTCTGGATGGAGGCTGAGGAACTACTTAGACAGGTTAAGGAGATAAGCAAAAGGGTGCTTGGAGTGGAACATCCAGATACGCCGATGGCTAGCAAAAACCTAGCGAAAGCGCTTGGGAATCAAGGACGTTGAAAAGAAGCAGAGTTGCTAGCAGTACAGGCGATGGCACCCGGAAAGAGGGTGCTTGGAGAGGATCACCCCGACACCCTCGACAGCATGTGTGCGTTGACTCTGATATACCATCCTTAGGGCAGATTGGAAGATGCCGTCGAGTTGTTACGAGATTACACACACAGATCTGAAAAGGTGTTTGGAATTGAAAACATTCATACAAAATCAGCTCTGTCAAAACTCCCTCAATGGCGGGTACAGAGACAGTAAGAGGAGCAAGAGTCAAGCTACGCTAATAGACATAGTTATATGTCTCTTGTTTGCAAGCAAATACCTCGCAAAATACAGTGTAACTGTCAGTATCAGCTAGACGATATGAGTAATTATATATGAGACAGAACTGAGTAACTTGCTTCATTTCAAGACGTAGTAACTTATAAATGTAATCTAAAAATAAATATATTGCTAACTAATTTAGGAAATACTAGTTCCACTGCACTGTGTTCTTCAAAGCACAGCCTCAACTGTTGGTTATCAAACAAAAGCTTCAATATAAGCGTAGAGGATCACTTTCTAGTATATTGGAAATAGCATAAGCCAAGCAACAGCGCCAGAGTGAACGCTTCTCAAATCAGAATACAGGAATGTGACTCGAGCTTGTTACAGTAGGCCGGCTGGCTTTTAGGCAATATCTTGACATGTATCCGAAACTTGTACGCCTTGCCGATGGCTTAGCTGAGGCCGCTTAATATAAATAAGTCTGCTTCTTATAACATCAGATTAAAGCTCAAAGCAACCAAGGGAAATCAGACAATAAATTTGTTGATTCAATTAAGTCACCATCATACAAATGCAAAGCAGCTTATGTGACTGGGGACTGGGGGAATCTAGACCCAAAGCATTGCCCAATGGCCCTAATGCAGCCTACTTCTTCCCCATCAGATAGACCTTCATCTTCATGTCATGTCTCGGCCTGGCCACCATACCGGTCACCTGAAAAGCCAGATCTCCCACGTTGCGGTCTAGGCCCATGTAGTCCAGACTCTGCGTTGTGCCATTCACCACCGTCAGTACAGGAGATGAGCATGGTTATGCAGGCGAAGGTGTCCTTGGTGGTGCCGTAGCCGCCGAGGAGGACCTTGAGGCTGGGGTGGTGTTAGTGATCGAATTCAGTTTCACAAAATGGTTCAGAATCCTATCATCACCTATTTGGTGACGGCAGTGTTGATGAACTCATCATCCAGCGTCGCGCTCGGTCTGCCCTGGGTCCTGTCAAGGACGATGCGGTCGAGGATGCTCTTGGTCTGTCGCCTGGAAGGCAGCTCCCTCTCGTCCTGAAAGATGCGCTACCTCTCCGTCATCTCGACCGCGAGATTACCCCTCACGTGGCCCTCGAGCGCTTGCCCTGCCGGGCCTTGCGCTTGTTCCATGGGTTCCACGTGTTGACGAATGTCGTGGCGGTGTTGATCGACGCCCGCAGGTCCTCCAGTAGCGACGACCTGGACAGCTGCGACCCGAGCGAGACGCCGAAGACGTCGAAGACAGCCCTGGCCGCCTCCTCTTCCATGCTGAAGGCGGCCCCCGCCTCAGCGAGCGCGCCCAGCCGCTCCCGGAAGACGAGAACCTGCTCGGCGATCATGCCGGGCGGCGTCTGGGTCGGCGATGACGACCTGCGACTTGACAAAGGGCCACGGTTCGACGTAGAAGATGCTGCCGGCGCCGTACCTTTGCGCCATGATAATGTAGATGTGCTGCGGGTGGGTCGCCGCCAGCTCCTCCGGTGTAGCCCCCAGATCCACGGGTGTTTGGGCGGTCGCGACTGTTTTTGCCTGACAAACAATGGGTACTAGCACAAATAAAGGACGCACATTATAACCAAAAAGGGTATTTACTATGTATAACTATACATTAAAGATGCGAAATGGATATACGGTACCATGTACCATGAAAATAATCTAATATACGCATAGATCGATTGCATGCGCACGTAAGCAAGCCAACATTTAGGTACGTGTCTGCTGGTGCGATACAATGCATCCATGCTCCCATACGAAGTCATCGCCAGCATGTCCGGTCCTGTTCACGCCCATGTCGTAGGCAACGTGCCCCTTGTTGTCACGGAAAGAGGCATCGGTTGGGTAGCTTGAGACCGATGCCCAACCCTGGGTGACATCATTAGCCCAGTACTCGTCTCGGCTCATGCTGCTCCAGCGTGTTTTGCTCTGGAGAAGAAATAGTCAGCATTCGGTCGTTTGTGGCCTAGAATAGGTAATCTGGGGGGGGGGGGGGGGGGGGGTGTCAATATGTACCGTGAAGTTCGAAGAAAAGAAACCGAATGTCGCCGCAACATCTTTATCAAACAGGTATGCCTTTTGGAAGTCAAACCAGCGATCGTATGTGGCTGCCAGGTCGGGCTCTGGGACGATGGGGTCGCAAGGAGGAGGGATTATTGCGGGTGGCGCTCCGGACTGCTGAGGCAGAGCCACAGCCTGAGAGGCAGCAGCCAGGAGCAGTCCAAGAGGTTGGAAGAATGAGGTTCGCATCTTTGTGGGTTGAATGTGTTGACTGTTTCACGGGTAGTAGAAACGAGAGAAGATGGGATGAACAACACTACTGTTCCTCGCAAACCGGTGTGAACGGGGACAAGGTTGAAGTATTTAACCTACGTATCACTGCATCTTGATACGTCATAACACAACACTCCTTTTTCTATATACGGCTAGGAGGGAGGCATAACCCTTGCCCGTTGCATTATTCTGCGTAGTGGAGTGGAGATTTTAGTTAGCTAATAGGGGCAGATCGTAATTGGAGCCCATTATTTTTGGAATAATACCTGAGTTTAAGTCAAACTTAATATACGAGGTGTGTCTACTACTATGGCGATACGACCATAGTTATGTCAGAATTAAATTACTTATACGATGGTACCAGGCCGAAGTTAATTGCCCCTGTTAGGTAACCAATGTTCACCCCCCTACTACGGGGCTTCACTTTTGATGAATATTCCCCATCTATTCTGATGTCAGCCATGGGGTAACATCATAGGGGTAATTAACTTACTCCTGCCACCCTGTATAATATATGTCAAGCATTCTGCTTGTGTGGTCGCCCGCCCCTTTAAGACTATACCAATCAGAACCCTGCATTCATTACGGAATCTCCGCGAAGGCCCTGCCCGTGGTAACCAAGTATTGCCATTCAAAAGAGGCTGAGCAGTGGACGCACACAGGGCTTCCCTGATAATGTTCATCAAGCCGAGCTAGATGCCCTCTGTCGCATCTGGGGTACCCTTCTCGCCCTTGGCCAGTGGTCTTGCTGTGTATCCCAGAAGAGGTTTTCCGACGACTGTGACCGAGTACTGCGGTGGACGTGACATTCGTTAGGCGGCAGAAGAGACAACTTGCAGTTTGATTTTCTCAGTCAGCCATCTGGATTGTAAGACGGGTTGCGGCCGCCCGGTCAGACGGCGGATCCAGAGGGATCGGATCAGATGATCTGATAAGATGATGGCAGAGGTAGATGGGCTCGGATTGGACGAAACTAGCACGGATGGGGGTCCTCAGTCATCGGGGAGTGAGTCGCACTAACGCCGTGCAGGAGGTTCCGGGAGCCTCGTGATGGAAGGGTGGTGAAGCAACGCCGATGACCCCTACCCCCCGCTCTGTGTCGATCTAGTGTTCCTAGCGAGTCTGGGGTCAGCCAGTGGACATCTGGGGAATACTCTTGGGGACTTCACGGCCTGATTCTATCAGCGGCACACATCTATGGACGACTGCTCTCTCCCTCGTCACGTTATGGGACGCCGAACCCGGAGCTGCCGACAGACGGGTTTGGCATGGTTTCTTCCCTTGCAGGCCTGCCAGCGATCTTCTCCGAGGCGGTCCATCACCATACGGAGAAGAGCTAGGCGGGATGTGGGTGTAAGTCCGCCGGCGTGTGACGGAGGGAACGTGTAAGTTTACAAGAACCTGCAGAGACTGGCTGGCGAGGGATTATCACGTAAACGTGAATTACCGCCTGCTGCGAGGGAGCGCTCCCAGTGTAGGTTCGGGTTCTCTCGGGCTGAAGCAGACACCCATATGGTGGCGGACGAAGATGGCTGTAGCCGATCGTACGCCGATCCTATCACGGGACGTGTTGTGCGGATTGAAACCCTGCTCTGCCCAACTAAAGACGAGCTTTCTCCTCTCGGACATTAGTCAGTGGTGTTTGTTGACCCTCATAGCTATATTAGGCGTGGTAGGTCACGGCCTTCTTGAATGAATCTAGACTGCGCAGGCTAGACAAAAATTCCTATCGTTCTTTGAGTTGTAAATGTTTTACGTAACTTAGGTAGTGGAAGCAAAATAAATGAACGGCAAAGAATGGTAGGAGTGAGCTTTGCTGGATGCAAAACGTCAAGGAAAACAGCAAAAGCTTCCGAAACCGAGAATCGAACTCGGGGCTATGCCTAACCTCTCATCGAGATGAGAGGGCATCATGTTGGCCACTACACCATATCGGATGTGGTTGCTTAGAGCCAAAAAGTTGCCAATTATCAAGCATTGTGCGTTGGAAGTGGAGCGGCGACGCCGGGTTGGCCCTTGGTGCGCTCCACTAAGTGGCTTACACGGTAGAGGTGAACTGATTACCAAAGGGACAAGGCATCGCTCGTCACAGGAATGCGATGGGAGTAGAGCGCAGCTCGAAGCGGCATTGACGCTCGTAAACAATTAAGAAAACTAGCAGTAGTGTGGTATCATCCTAGTGAAACCCAGTGTCGCGATGTCAACCGATTCCTAGCTCCTTCACTCGGTGTGCATCTCTCAGCGCTGCCGAAGGCTATACAGCCAGCCCATTCACGCGGCAGCCTCCCCTGACAATATACCCTTATCCTTGAATGGCCATATGCGATTACGGTGTCGGTCTGTTTAAGCCGTCTTCTTGCCAGCGGCAACCTGTCTGCCCTGCGACGTGTAGTGGACGTACGCGTAGCCGCCAGCGGCAATGACGCCGATGATGACAAAGTTGCCTGTGATGATGCCTATTAGTACGCACACTCCTCTCCCAGCTTTAGTAAAGAGCCGTGGGGTTGGAGACTTACTCAAGAAGAACTTGCCGAGTCCGCCAACGACGTCAATGGCGCCCGAGAAGACGTCCGAGATGAGGTTGACGATGCCGGTGAAGAAGCCGATGATGGTGTTGAAGATGGTCTGGAGGACGTGGTAGAAGGCGTTGAAGATGGACGAGAGGAGCTCGTAGATGCTGCTGAAGAGGTCCTGGACGGCGTTGGTGACGGCCATAGCTGCGGTTGTTGTGTTCTTGCGTTGATTATATGGGAAAAGGTGGTAATAGTGTGCAGGTGATGATGGTCTGGAGTTGGTTGAAGTGACGTGGTGCGATTGTGATGGGAATTTGCGATGCTTTTCAGAGCTTCGTGAGTGAGCTCGAGAGCCTTTATGGTGCACGCGAGCCAAACGACGTCCAGGTGACGCGATGCGATGCGCCCTCCCCCCCCAGACAAGCGAATGCAGGCCAGCAGGAAGGAGGCGCTGACAGCTGGACGGTCTCGAACCACAAAGTCGCCCGTGACGTCTTCATCGTGACGTCACTAGCCACACCCACACCCACGCGACTCCCAAACGGCGCCTTCCAGCCACAGAGCGGGCGGAACCACAGGATGCGGGAGAAAGGTACAGGTACGTACTTCTCACTTCATACCTGCCTTGTATTAAAACACCCCAAAGAGGGCATTGCGAGGGCGGTGCTGATTGGGTCGTTGCACGGGCAGGAACGCGCCAGTCTGCGAATAAGGGGAGGAAGGCCCGGTCCGCTTACTGTGCTGGTGTGGCACATCCGTCATTCTCTCTCACCCTCACTCTCACTCTCGCTCTCACTCTTACTCTTACTCTCACTGTGTCACACACACCTCCATTCAAGCCACGTTCCTCATTTGCCCCCCCTTCTCGGGTTGTTGTCCATCTCCAACAGGAATGCGTGGAGGGATACGCGGGCTTTAGGTCATGGGTGTCTGGTGAGACAATGATGGGAAACCATGAAAAAGATGGCAGCCGGATGGGGCAACACATGTTTCCAAACCTGGGCTACGTAGCTGTCAGTTCTCAGGCGCCAATCCAAGGGGTTATCTATTTACTAACCTTGTTTCTGTCACCTTTGAGATGACTTCATGTTTGATGAGGAAAGGGCTTCATCGGCCTTTGTTGGTCTATCCCAATGAACCGTCCACTACCTTGCCAGCCCGATCATGGTCTCTAAATCCGCCGTAATCGTTCTCTCAACTTGTTTTCCGGCTTGCCGGCATTTCATACAGAAGTCGATCTTTAGACCTGATGGAGTTGAACATGCCTGATTGATAATTGCCTGCCAAGTATTATTATCAGCAAGTTTAGCTTGAACTGCATGGCTTACAATTCCAAAGATAAGAAACAAAGAGGAAAGAGTTGACTCTTCTCCCTAAAGACTGATCCGCCTACACTAAGTGTCAATGGACAGGGTAGGCTCGTCTCACTAGCGTCGGTCGTCACATGGCCGGCCCCCGCAAGAATTTGCAACTGTGTTTCCGACGTGAACCCCCGCGTCTTAGCGTGATAGTCAGTCCCTCTTGGGGATACGGCTCAAGGCAAGGGGTGCCATGAGTGTGAACTACCAGTGTGCCTGATGTTTTGAAAGTAATCAGGGTTATTACTCAGAGGTAAAGCAAGTGGCCACGGCCGTCTATACTCTATGCCACGGGCAATAGACTATGTCTAAACGGCGGTTGGCTTGCAACACCAGAGAAGGCAGCCCAGTGGTGCCTGAAGGCTTCGTCGCTGCGGCATGTTTCCAACCATACAAGGCGTCGAGCATGAACAAGAGCGTCGTCCCAGCAGGTCAACTGCGTTGCATGGACAACATCTCTTACCCTCTTTGTAATCCATTCATAATGCTCGGTTCCATATGAGGCCGCCATGCCTATGGTCAGCAGCCAGACATCTAGGGAGTCGTATTGATGCGGTGTTGCATGTAGTTGCTTGAGGTGGTTCATGAACCGACCCAAAATGGTGTTAAACATCACCGTATGCGAGTAATACGTCGGCCCTTGGATGATAAACATGTAGAGTATAATGGCGTTGCGTACGCACTCGGAAACTGGAGACTGGGTGTGCATTCCACTCGGCATCGACAGTAGTAACCGATGCATGACAAAGCATGTGAGGTCGTGAAGGCGTGTAGGTGTGAGAGACACATTTTGCGCCCGTCGAAAGATATTGCGCAGGCGCACCGCCACTTCTCTGACGATGTAGTCAATCTCGACGCCACCCAGCTCTGAGATGTCTTCGTGGAAGGCGGCCGAGTCGAGTTGCCATTCTGGGGGAGGAGGAACCCCATCGCCTATCCCGGCGTCGTCTTGCGTCTCGAACTGGGGCTGGCCCGTGACGATCATTGACACCCTTTGGGAGGATGTCTGTGAATACAACGCCTTGGGCTAGGGAGTGGAGCACTTCGACTCACCAGCTGACCATTCTCGCAGTGAGCGGGCTGGTTTGCCTCACTGCGTTGATGCCGCCTCTCATATCGACCAGCTTCTTCACCCCCGCGACGTGCATCGTGCTGACCCGAGTGTTGCCCTTGTCGAACTGACATGGGAGCGGCCTTGTTAGTGAGCGGTCACGGCAGGCACAGAAGAACGAGACTCGAGGTTCTCTACAGTCTCGATTCTCACCTCAATTGCCGCCAAGGTGATGACAGAGTTCATCGTTCCGTCCTGTATCGCCAGTGACGTGTCTTCGACTTTGCGTCGCAATAAAGCCACTGAGTCGGCCATCAGGATCTCGGAGGACTGGAAACCCTTCTGGGCGAGCAACTCCTCGTCAAGCACGCCGTTTGCAGAGAGACGTGGAACAGCGCCGGATCGCCGAGGGCCAGCGGCCACCACGAGACGAGGAAAGGGTTCGACGTCGCGCTCAGGTCCAGGGGGTAGTATTCGAACGCGATCTTGTGGAGAACTGCAAGGGGTTTTAGTGAGCCAATCCTCTGCCATCTCAGAACCTTGTCCCCCTCCCCCCCCGAGTAAGAATCAACCGGACGGACTTGCGTACAGCTATGTATCAAACGTTGAACCTGCTCCCGGGGAAGCCTGGTCTGTGGATAGGAGTCGAAGGGATCGAGGGACCCGAAGCGGTAGTTGGTCAAAGCACCTGATCCGTCTAGACCAGCCCCGGACGATGACGACGACGACGACGCTGATGCTCCGTCCCCCGGCAGGGCTGGCTTATACCATGTATGGAACGAAAACGAGCCGGTCATTGCAGGTGTTGCAACGAGGGATTGTCGAAACGAGCCGCTTGGGTATCGTGCTAACGGAATGGACGTTTGGAGGGCCATTCGTAGGCTGGGAGTTGGTCTTTATATAAGAAAGCCGCAGACGGCCGGTCCCTGCCATTTGAATCAAGGTCAAGTTCTTGTAAGTTGTACACACCTCCGAGCTTCGAGATGGCTTCGGTGATCATTGGCACGCCCGTCGCGCAGGCCGAGCTGCAGCAAACATGGTCCAACAGTACATTACACTTCCCGGGTAACCTCCCGGGCTTTTTTGCCGGTTGGTCTACTTGGCAGTATGCTGTGACATTTCTGCTTGGTGTTGTAGTCTACGATCAAGGTACTATCCACCTCCAGCCTGTGCAGTGTGTCTCAAGCTGACTCTATTAGTTATGTACCTCATACGCAAAGGTTCAATCGCAGGTCCTACGCTCAAAATCCCACTCATGGGACCCTTCATTCAAGCTCTGCATCCAAAATTCGAGGAATATCTAGCACAATGGGCGAGCGGTCCCCTGAGTTGTGTATCCGTCTTCCACAAGTAGCCAACGCTCTCCAAAGACCCTCCCATGCATCCCCAACTGACTGGAATATTCCAGGTTCGTCGTGCTTGCGTCCGACCGAGACATCGCCCACAAGGTCTTCAAATCACCAGCCTACGCCGGGCCGTGCATCGTTCCCATCGCCAAGGACATCCTCGGCCCTAAGTCCTGGGTATTCCTCCAGGGCAAGGCCCACGTCGAGTACCGCCGGGGCCTGATGCCCCTGTTCACCAACAAGGCCATGGCGACCTACCTGCCCGTCCACGAGAAGGTGCTGGGCGACTACTTTGCCAAGTTCGTCGCCGCGAGCGAGGCGGAGCGGGGAGGACCGACGGCCTTCATGGCGCTCTTCCGCGAGATCAACTGCGCCCTCTCGTGCCGCACCTTCTTTGGCGACTACATCTCCCAGAACGCCGTGGAGAAGATCGCCAACGACTTCTATCTCGTCACCGCCGCCCTCGAGCTCGTCAACGTCCCGCTGTCCATGTACGTCCCTTCCACCAAGGTCTGGCGGGGCAAGCGCGTGGCCGACGCCGACCTGCATCGTCGACCACTGGGTGCTCCACATGATGGAGTCGGAGCGGTACCGCGCGCGGGTCGCCGCCGGGGACGACGCGGGCGCCGCGCGGCCGGCCAACGTGATCCGGGAGTTCACCAACGAGGAGATATCCGAGACCCTCTTCACCTTCCTCTTCGCGTCCCAGGACGCGTCCAGCAGCGCCACCACCTGGCTGTTCCAGATCCTCGCCCAGCGGCCCGACGTCGTCGAGCGCGTGCGCGCCGAGAACCTGGCCGCGCGGGGCGGCGACGGGACCAGGCCCTTTGACCTGCCGATGCTCGAGTCCCTCACATACACCAACGCCGTGGTCAAGGAGGTCCTGCGCCTCCGGCCGCCCGTCATCTTCGTGCCCTACCTCGCGACCAAGAAGTTCCCCGTCACGCCCGGCTACACGGTCCCCAAGGGGTCCATGATTATCCCGTCGTGCTACCCGGCCCTACACGACCCGGAGGTCTACCCCAACCCGGACCTCTTCGACCCGGACCGCTGGATCACCGGGGATGCCGAGTCCAAGACCAGGAACTGGCTCGTCTTCGGCGCGGGGCCGCACGACTGTCTCGCCAGGCGGTACGTGCCGTTGACGATGGCGGCGATGATCGGCAAGGCGGCGCTGGAGGTTGACTGGAAGCATTACGCGACGGCAAAGTCGGAAGAGATCAGAGTCTTTGCGACGCTGTTTCCCATGGTGAGTTTTCTTCCGCTGGATACACGCTCATGAGTGGTATCACTGGTCAGAGGTGAGATGAATGAGGACGTGGCTAATTGAGAACCTAGGATGATTGCCAGCTGAGTTTCACGCGGCGGTCTTAGATCTGCATCTTATGTTTCATTGATGATGGACAGAAGGATGGGCAATATACAAGAGTGGTGAGTTTGTAGAGTTAAGTAATGACGGGTAGTTTGAAGAGGGAACAAGAAATGCCATGTGAGAGGTTTCTAGAGACAAAACTCACCTCAGATGTTTTTACGTCTGACCACATGGCTTTTGTTCTTTGATGCAAGTTTCTCCTGTAAATTTCTATTTGATAAGATTCCTCTTGGTATCGTGTTCTTTGTTCGTTTTGGTTACTTTGTTCTAACAGCAAACTGATCCGCCAGCTCTTCGAGAACCTCTTGCTCCTCTGCAGTCGAACGCCAAACCTTCCCAGCCTCTTCAGTTTCTGTGGGTGGGCGATAAACTGGCAATGAGGGGAGGGGTCGACTATAGTATTTGGAGCTGCCCACTACAGCATCCTCCCTCAGCAGATCATTTCGTTTCTGGTTGCTGTTCATAACCGTCAAGCCTCGCTTGCGCCTAAGTATACGCGGACGCGGGTGCGGGTTCACGGGGTTCTGTAACTGCGCCGAAGGGCTTCGCGATACGTCGTCACTGTGGCTAGCGACCTCCGGCGCAGTTGATGCGTCCTTGGATGATGCGGAGTGTTTCTGGCATGTCGTTGTGCCCCGAGACGCGGGGCCTGATACCTTTGGCTGCATTTCTGGTTCCATAGTGCTGGCTGTTGTTACGGGGGATTCAGTCTTCAAGACGAATCTGGTGTGATGGGGTCTTCTGGTTGAATGGCGACTTTCTGCGAAGATGTAGAGCCCGGTACTGGCAAGTTGGGTGACGTTGACGATTCTAATATGCAGTAGTCAGATCGTCGCGGCATTCTGACTGAGCAGTTTGATAAATTCTGAGAATAGGCAAAGAGTTGAGGACAACGCTTTGTGTGTATTCTATATGTCAGTGTGAGATCAACTGCTTATATCCTATTTTCCCCCTTTTGGACAAAGCCGTATGACCTCGATCTTTATACATACTTGTGGAGGATTCCAGCAATACGTTGTGGTGAATGAGCACAATCTTATGGAAAGGCAACAGTGAATCTTTGATTACAACAACAATGCTGTCTATATAAGAGTCGAACACTTATTGTAACAAAACAAACCACTGAGCTACAGTCAAAGGCTTCTTATCCACGGGGATCGCAATCAACTCCTCGCACTCCGTTGGAGTTGGTGGGGCCAATTGCGCTGTCACCGTCATTGGCGCATTTGCGAGTCATCACAATCAACTCGAAAGCGGGTCGGTTAGCTCAGTTGGTTAGAGCGTGGTACTAATATTTCACCAGAAATGTTATGTAATGCCAAGGCCGGGAGTTCAAGCCTCCCACTGATCACATTGTTTTTGCATGTGGGAGTAATTGTCCGTCATCGTACTGGTCGTTCCCGACCTTGTTTTTGCCCTCGGGCCTAGTAAAGACATGAATGACTCTGATGTGTTGGAGTTTAGCTAGAGTCGCTTCTTTTTATCACCAGGCACTGCTTTCTTAAGTAAGAAAGCCTGAAACCAAGGTAGAAAGTTGTGAATCGAAACCTCGAAACCTCGGGAGATGTCCATTGCGATTCAGCCAGGCTGCATTTCTGGTAGTATAAGGCCTGCTAAGTGAGGTGCCAGCTACGGCGGGATAAGAAGTTCACGCTCTTCGGCGCAACTAACAAGAGGCCAGTACTTTTTTCGCGATGCACTCCTCTTTAGAGTTCGGTAACGTAAGCCTATGGACAATACTCTACAGCCGCACCTTGAACATGGCATTGTGAGCCTGTGACCAACATCGACAGACGCGGTGTTGTTCTCGAGCTGTCTATGCAATCACAGGCTGAAATGCACAAAGTACCAGTTGCAATTGTAATCATATGTCGAAATACCTGAGAACTAGCCCCCATGAATCTCCTGGTTCACATTTTCTATGAGCGTCGTTAACTCTACATCTTCAGCTCAAATCAAACATTCTTCGTTGTGTCGCTGTGACGCAAGAGCCACGCCCTGACGGATCATCAAGAAATGACAGAGTATGCTTCGCAAGAAATACCAGCGCTTACTGGCTAGTAGAGGGTGATTGCGAACCTAGACTGATTTTACAATGTGCCGGCGTTGACCAAGTGGATTGCTTAGAATCTGAGCCAGAGTTGTTCCATACATGTAGGAACGTCAGATTGATCATTACCATTGTTGTCTACCACGCATTGCGGCTGACCATTTAGGGGGAAAAAACAAAAAAGTGTTGTCGTGGGTGCACCGGCGCTACAGTCTACTATAGACAACAAAACCCATAAGGTCCTATGTTGAAGTTTTTCCCGGTCAATGTGCTGGCTAACGGTAAAGAAAAAATGTGATTATGAAGATGGACGTATGACGAACAGCTGACAGTATTTTTATTTGGAAAACGCTGATTTGAGAGCTGTGGTTTAATGTTCTCCGTAGTCTCCAGGCCTCTCGCTTACTACGCAGACAGATATAACAAAGAAGGACAAAGAAGAGCGCTCTGCAAGTGGCCGTGGTGACACTGGGCTGACCAGCTGTTGATCATTTGAATTTGCGACCCATTGTGTCTCGGCTTCCTTGACGACCGGCGATCAACCCCGCCGAGGAAGGCCATCGTCGAAAGGCGGACCAAAGTCCGAATGCGCCGAGTTTGGATAAGCAAAATCTACCCTAGATGAGGTAGGTAGCGTCAAGCCTTGAGACAAGCAGAATCGCTAATGCAAGGTGCTGACAAGGGCAAAGGCCGATGTCAGCCACCCACTTCCGTTGCCTATCGCCGATGAATTATCAATGCTTAGGGGTTACTGTTCGGCCATCAGAATCAGCCGGTAGAGGATCGGCCATAAGCACCTTAATCGCAGATTCGTGCATTGCATGGCAGCCGCTAGCCCAGGGACAGGAAAGTCGGAATATAATGTGGTCCGTGCCTGTCAGCAGGTTGCAGCAAATACCTACTAGTAATTAGCTGGAGGTATCTGTCGTCTTGAGTTGGTTAGAGATGTGTGACAAGGACTGCGAGGTTTTTCTTTGTTTCCCGCAAGTACTGGACTTTATCTGACTCGCGAAGGACCTCGGCTGGGGATGTAGCCCACGTACGCAACATTCTGCAAACGAGCAGCAACCTCGACCCATCGGAAGACTCGGGGTTGTTGTCCGAGAGCTCCTTGCACTAGCAGTCGGAGCAAAACCCAGCGTAGCATGCTGCTGGGGCTCGACACCGCCTGAAGTCCTAGCCTAGCACAAGCCTGCCGCCGGCATGACGGCTGTTCCTGGTGTCTGTGGGCCGGCCTCCGCATCAGTACGAAATGGCATAATGCCGTGTTAACTCCGGCTAGCTCCGGCATAGATGCTTCTCGATGACATGGTGACCGAACCCATAGTTGGACCCCTGCTCCCGAGCTCAGGGATGCCGTCATGGACTTGGCCCTTGGAGGAGCTCAGCTCCCTATGCGTATATAAAGCGTTACACCCGCGCGTTGCCTGTGCATATATCTCGGCCATCGAGTGGTTTACTAGCAGAATTCGCAAACAACACATCCAGATCATCTCGCCGCAACAATGACCGACTACAAGTTCGAAGGATGGCTCGGCCACAGCCCCGAGAGCATCAATGGAAAGATGGAATGGGGCTCGTTTGAGCCCAAGAAGTGGACGGAGGATGATGTTGACATTGAGATCTCCCACTGCGGCATTTGCGGTTCCGACCTTCACATGCTGCGATCAGGCTGGGCCCCGACCCCTTACCGTGAGTTCCCGACGTGTCCAGTTATCCCCGCCCTCCTGCAAACGCGGGGCATTTCGCAAAGTTCTATCCCCCCACTAACACTTGCGCGCCTGTGAACAGCCTGTTGCGTCGGCCACGAAATTGTCGGCAAGGCCGTCCGCGTCGGTAAGAACGTTAAGGACATCTCCGTCGGTGACCGCGTTGGTGTCGGTGCCCAGGCTCGTTCCTGCTTGCAGCCCGACTGCCCCGAGTGCTCCACTGGTCGCGAGAACTACTGCGCTCGCAGCAATGTTAGCACCTACGGAAGCATATACCCTAACGACGAGGGCAAATCCTACGGCGGTTATGCCAACTACAACAGAACCAACGGCCACTTCGTCGTCAAGATTCCTGAGGGTCTCCCGTCAGAAGATGCTGCGCCGATGCTCTGCGGAGGCATCACGGTCTACGCGCCGTTGAAGGACAACGGCTGCGGGCCCGGCAAGACCGTTGGTATCGTCGGCGTCGGCGGCCTCGGGCACTTCGGAGTACTCTTCGCCAAGGCCCTGGGCGCAGACAAGGTCATTGGTATCTCACGTAAGGCCTCGAAGAAGGAGGAGGTCCTGAAGCTGGGTGCCGATCAATACATCGCGACGGACGACGACGAGGGCTGGGCCAAGAATAATGCTCGCAGCATCGACCTGATCATCTCCACCGTTTCCAGCGACAAGATGCCTCTTCAGCAGTACCTGATGCTTCTCAAGGTTAACGGTACCTACATCCAAGTTGGGTAAGTCATCCACGCCGTGCGCCATATTTCACGCATGACTGATAACTTGTAGCGCCCCCGACGGTGGTAATCTCCCTCCTATCAACGCCTTCAGCCTCCTGGCGAGCGGCATCAAGATCGGAGGCAGTGGCATCGGTTCGCCTTCTGAAATCAGGCAGATGCTGGACCTCGCGGTCGAGAAGAAGGTCAAACCCTGGGTCCAGAAACGACCATTGAAGGATGCCAACAAGGCGATTGTTGATATGGAAGCCGGCAATGCCCGTTACAGATACGTACTGGTTAACGAAAAGCATGCCAAGTTGTAAAAAGCGGAACACGGAAGCGATTTTTTTTGGATGAAGGGAGACATGATGAGATGCCGAGATGAACAATTGAAAATCTTTTCGAATTGATGTTTTTTGTTTTCCTCCGAAATGCTTGTGCTAATCTTGCTATAAATGTTACACGCTAGACATAGAACATCTTCTTTATCTTATCAAATGTCAAGACATAGAAGCTATCGTAAACGGCAT